CATTTTTTCAGATGGAGACTGAAACATCATCATGGCTAGGCTTCGCGAACGAAGATTTGGGAAGGCTCTATCCACATTTGCTGCAGGCACGCTGGTGGCTTATGAGGCCAATACGTGACAGACAAATCCGATTGCAAAAGGCACAACAGAAAGACTCCTTAGATGGTGTATTCTGCAATACACGGTTCTTTCTGCGTTGCCTTTTTTCCTCGAGGGTGATCCTGCGTGTGTTCTCGAAGGAGACAGCAGCGTTATAGATGGTGTGTCTCCAGGCCTCCCGATTTGAGGCCAGAGTAGACCAGTTATGGTGATCAATATGGTCAAGGCTGAGATGTTGTTTCAGGGAGTCCTTGTATCTTTTCTTCGGGGCTCCTCTCATGCGGCAGCCAGTGGCAAGTTCACCGTAAAGCAAGATCTTAGGGAGGCGGTCTCTTCATCCTGGAGACATGACCTGCCCAACGCAGCTGTGTTCTCATCAGCATGGCCTCGATACTTATGATAGCTGCTTGCTCTAGAACAGATGTATTGGTCTGAACAATTGTTTCATGGCATGAGTTGCTATTGCTACTAACATCAAAATTTGTCATGAAGTGTCTGCATCACTGAAACTCTTCAACACAGCTGAACTAAATGGCATTGCCTGTGTTGCTCCTTACCTCATGAGAGGTCTCTTGAACTGTTAACAGTCTCAATGATTTCAGAAGGGAACCTGAGTTGCTGGAGGCTTTGTAGCCATCTGATGTTTTATCCTCCTCCAAATGTCCTTGGTGTAAATCCAATGAAAGCTTACCTCGTGCCTGCTTCCCAGAATGGAAGGAAAATCTGAGTGCCTATGGTACCCCTATCATGTGTGGAGATAGTTAAATGAAGTAAATAAATGCTCCCATCTTTCACCAGAAATAAGGTTGCAGAGAGAGACATGTGTAGGTCCCTGAAAGGGATTAGTATCTAATGCCTCATTAACATTAGAACTGGGGAATCCCATTCCTCTCCCCATTCTTTCTTTTCCCTCTCTCCTCTCCTGGGTTGTCTTATACTGCCTCTAGCATATGTGGAACCCTCCGTGAACCAATTCACTTGCTAAGCTGTTGGAACACTAGCCCAACAAAAAAAAAATTAAAATAGAATTAATGAGCTGAACTGACTCAGACGAGGGTGCAATAAAAACTGGGGCCTGTGCAAAAGCATAACTGTGTAGACAAGTTTGGGGAGGAGCAGTGAAACAATGACAGCCCGTGATTTAGTTGGCATCTTGTCACTCACCCTGAGGCACTCTTGTTCAAAAGTTTTGGCTGTAGTTTCTTTTCTGCTGAGTCATCATCTTTTCTGTGTTGCACCACCTTGGATCCCTGATGCTTAGTTTGCTTTCCATGGCTCTGGTTCAGCACGACGACTTTTTTTGTCACTGTTGGTGTCCTTGGTCAAACCCCTGGGGAGAGATAAGCATCTTTTTCTCTACTTTTTGTAATCTAACAGGGATTAGCCTGAAATCTCACAGTCCAAGTGCAAGAGCAGAGGAAACTTTCAGACAAAAGTTGAATGTCTTTTAAATACTAAGCCAAGTGACTCTCATGTAGTGGGACATTGGGGGAGAGGAGGGACTGAATCGCACAGGTGTAAAGTCCTGTATCCTACTATAGGTCTCTGCATTTTTGGAGCCTCCAATGGGTTCCAGAGGTATCTGTTAAGATCAGTACATGACTGGAGCTTCTAATGTGTGAGCTAGAACCAAGAGCAAACCTTAAAGCACTTAGTAGTGCACAGCACAACCCACAGACCGGCTTATGAGGTTATTTTTATGCATCTCCACAAAGAGACATGAAAGGCCCATGAGCTGGGCTTTGTCGAGACACAGTTCTTACACCAAGAGACAATAAAGGAGTCACAGGCTGCCACTGGCCTATTGCATAAGAGGATCAGACATTTTAATGAGCTTCTGCATGTCCAGTGTTTGTCAGCCCTGCTGATTTGTAATCAAGCAGGACACTGTTATAAAAACCACTCCAGCAAACAGCATTTTTGAATGTACCTAAGAAGATGAGTTTGAATTGAAATGCAAACAAACTGTGAATCAGCCCACCTCTTTCTGGATTGTAGGACCCTGTTTGCCCTACTGTTCGTGTTATAGTTTAATCCAACCTGAATTTAAGTTTTTAGAGGTATTTTGTATATCTCATTTCACAAAACAACTAGTTTTCTCTGGTTCTTGAATATTTTTCCTGTTATAATTCTTAATCCTACTTTTTAGCAAAGAATTACAAAGAAAAAATGATAAATGCATCTTAAAAATTTCTATAATAGTTTATTCTATAAAATATGTTTATTAAAGAAATGGAACTAAAATTAATTTTAAGGATAATTGTCTATATGACAGAGTGGAACAGCTATGAAATAACACCAATTGTTTGAGTTTTTTTTAAACTGCTGAATTATAAAGCAAAATGAAAGGATTCTCCTCATAATTCTCTTAATTAAATTAAAGCAAACCCAAGTAAAGAAGGAAAAAACTGTTTAAGGAATTTTACTCTAAAATTTGGGTTACTGTCAAAGACCTGACATCCACTACAGGATATTTATGATGTTACTCAAGAGAGCATAGAAATATTTGATGTTATCCTTTACTGCATCCCTTAGGACCTTAAACTTCCAATGACACCCCCCTTTCCCTACACCAAAATCCTACTTATGAACACAAAAATCTCTGTTATGAACCACGTTAGAAAGGTGTGTTTTACTTCTCACTGTAGTTTACAAAGACTATGTTATACCACACTGGTGTATTATCAATGAAGGATTGTGTTGGGCTACATTTTTCCATAAGGTAAAATTTCCTCTGACACTCTTGCCTGAATGCATCTCCCAAAGACTTTTCTTTTCCTCGGCAGCCTTTTTTCAAAAGGCTTTTAACCAAAGCCAATCCAGGATGCAGAGCAGAGTGCCTGAGGAGTTCTCCTTTGAATACCATCAACTTCAGGAACAGCTGCTAAGATCAAATGGACAAAGGGAATTCAGCACCACCCACTCTTTGTATTATCTTTTAAACATGAGGAGCTTAATCCTTCCTATGAACAAGGTCTGTTGTCCTGCTTGCCATCACCACGAACATATTATATTCTGGGTAACTCTGCTTTCTCCTAGGACTGCACCTGCAGCAAAGCTACAGTATAAAGGTCCAAAGTCTCTGCAAATAACGTGAGTCATAAAATAATAAAAAAAATAATAATAAAAAATAATCAAAATTTGCCAACTTGGGTGGATAACTGACTTTAAGAAAGGGTACATAATTATAATCTATTAAAAATAAATATTTTATATCCTAATTCCTGCGATTCCTCTGTGATGGTGTCTTTCCAGCCATAACAGCCATTCTGTCTACTGCATTCTAAGCCTCTTTGCTGTCAGTAATTGTTTTTTTTATTTTGTGATCTCATCTATTTGTGATAAAGAACTGGGAGAATAACCCATTGGGAACAGTTGTGGAGAAGGACTTGGGGGTTCTCATGGATGAAAAGCTGGACATGAGCCAAAAGTGTGTGCTCACGGCCCAGAAGGACAACCCTATGTGGGCTGTATCAAAAGCACCATGGCTCAGGTCGAGGGAGCTGATTGTCCCTCTCTCCTCTGCCATCATGGGAGCCCACCCGGAGCACTGCATCCAGCTCTGGGGTCCTCAGCACCGGAAAGATGTTGCCCTGTTAGAGTGCGTCCAGAGGAGGCCACAAAGATGATCAGAGGACTGGAGCACCTCTGCTACGGAAACAGGAAGGGAGTTTATAATGGAGAGTGACGTTTTACACAGGCAGATAGGCAGAGACAAGGGGGTTGGGTTTAAACTAAAAGAGGAGAGATTTAGATTTGATGTTAGTAAGACACTCTTTTCTGTGAGGGTCAGATTATGTGACTAATACATCTGTTCTAGAACAAGCAGCAGTCACAAGTATTGAGGCCATGTCGCTGAGAACACAGCTGTGCTGGGCAGGGCACGTCTCAAGGATGAAGGACCACCGCCTCCCCAAGATCTTGCTTTATGGTGAACTTGCCACTGGCTGCCGCATGAGAGGAGCCCCGAAGAGAAGATACAAGGACTGCCTGAAACAACATCTCAGCCTCGGCCACATTGATCAACATAACTGGTTTACTCTGGCCTCCAATCGGGAGGTCTGGAGACACACCATCTATAACGCTGCTGCTTCCTTTGAGAACGCACGCAGGATCACTCTCGAGGAGAAAAGACAACGCAGAAAGAATCGTGTCTTGCACAATTTACCACCTAAGGAGTTTTTCTGCTGTGCCTTTTGCAATCGGAGGTGTCTATCTCGTATTGGCCTTTTTAGCCACCAGCGCGCTTGTAACAAACGTGGGTAGAGCCCTTCCCAAATCTTCGTTCGCGAAGCCCGGCCATGATGACTGTGAGGCACTGCCACAGGTGGCCCAGAGGCGCTGTGAGAGGCGATGACCTCCCGGGCCACGCAGCAGCGACCGGCCCAGACCCTGCGGGCACTTCCCGCAGCCAAACCAGTGGTGCCCTCGCTCATCCTCCCGCACCGGCGCTGCGGGAGCCGCGCCCGAGACGTCGCCCGGCCCTCGGGGCCGCCAACAGGTGCCCGAGGCGTTACCCTGCCCGGGCCGAGCTTGCACCGCCCCGGCGGGCGCGGAGCAGGTGCCGTCCAAGGTCTCCCGGCAACCGCCCGGCCAATGGCGGCGGGGCGGCGCGGGGCGGGGCGGTGCTTTAACCCCGCGGGGCCCGGCCGAGGGCCGTACTGGCCGCGGGGCTCGCTCAGGAGGGGTATCTTGCTCGTCCCTGCAGCCGCAGCAGGTGGTGGGTGCGCGGGCTCCTCCTCCCCGGCAGCGGCGGCGCAGGAGGAGCGTCCGGCGGGGCCGGTTCCGCCCCACGCGCGGCGGTAACGGCGCTCGGCGGCCGCGGGCGGGGCGCGGGGGAGGCGGCGGCCGGTGGGGCAGCGGCTGGGGCGCGGCGGGACGGGCGCTTAGGGACCGGCGCTGCGCTGGGCAATCCCGCCCACGGGCTCGGCGTGCCGCGGTCTGGGCTCGCCCCGGGCCGGGGAAGGGCCCTATACGGGGGCAGCAGCCTCTGGCCGCGGCGGTGCGGTGGGTCTTGACATGTGCTCCCTTCTATCAGGCTCCGGCTGACCCGCAGGGAGGAGGGAGAGTTGCGGTTCGGCTGGGCTTTGCCGGCTGTTCCCCCTCCGCGCTCAAAGGCCCGGCGTTTCGTTATCTCTGTGAAGCTACAAGCGGCAGATGCTCGGAGGTGGGAGCCCTAAAGCTTTCTACTGAGACAGGGAATTTGTGGCTGCTCGGGTTGAGGTAGTGGTTCACGTGATGTAAGAGGACAGGTTCCGTGAATGACCTGGGCATTTTTTTAAATGTTGTTTAAAATTGTATTTACTTGCAGCGAAGCTCAACTCAGTTTGAAGATCAAATCGTAATGCGAGACCAATTTGTAGTGTTACTGCATGCCCTGTTTTTGTAGAATGCTCTGTTGCTTTGCTGTGCTGTCAGTGAAACAGTTATGCAGGGCTCCATGGGCTGCCAAGGTATGATAGGAATTTCAGGGCAACGACTTAAAATAGGAGGCATTCGAAGTAAAATGTGAATGTATTAGATAAATTTTAATAGTGAACTTAGAAAGGAGACTTAGAGAGACGATTTGATACAATTAATGGAGATTTCACGTTGTAAGGGTTTAGCAGGAAAGATGTTATTTTGGGGATCTTTCTTGGTGAGGGAAGGGGAGCAGAAAGCTGTGGTACTATCAGTTATAATTTGGACTGGGAAAAGCATAGGAGAGGGTAATACCAGGCTCATTGGGTTCAATATCTTGTTTCTGAAGCTGGCAGCAGATGCTAAGGAAAAGATGGTAAGTATAGGGTGGCTGTACAGCAATGCTTTTATCTATGTATCCTCCCAGTATACTGCAGTCTGGAGCTGAAGGATTTCTGAGCAGAGGTTGTAGCTGGCTTTTTTAATTTAATAGCTGCTGATGGATGTTTTTCAAAGAATTAGAAGCAATTTATTATTTATATTCACAGCACCTTATGGTGATGTAAGTCCATAGTTTAACTATATTTTATATGGAAAAATGCCCTTATTTTCCAGCTGTTGCAGTGAATGTCACATTGCACTCTTTATAACTGCTGTGTTAAAAGAAGCAATGAATATTTGTTTTCTGTATGTTGGTCCTGTTTCTCTAGCTGTTTCCTCTTCTACCTGAAAAGTCATAGCTTATTAGTTTCCTGGATGAAAGCATTGGTTGACCTTGGTGCACTGTATTCAGGTCCATTCTGCCTTTTTTTACAGGGAAGGTTGTACCTGTGTGATATTTTAGGCTGGAGAAGCTTGGTGTTCATACAGAGGCATAATGATGGTCTCCTTCTGTCCTCTGGTCCCGTGTACTGTTAACTGCCTGTGAGCTGTTATTTCCAGAGGACTAATCATAGTGACCCTGGGATCTCTTCCTGCATGATAATGCCTAATTAGAGGCTGTTGGTTTAAGTACATAGCAGAGTTGTCTTTTTCGTTGTTTAGTTTGCATTTGTGAACAAGGAATTTCAGCTGCTGATTTTTATCACACATTTATTTAGTATGAGAACAACCTTCTGCAGTTTGTCAGTCTGGGTGTTTAATTTTGTGAATAGCTCTGTACAGTGCATGAATACACCACCTGTTCATCCCCTTTTAAAATTTATTGAACAACAGAGATGCCTGCACAGACCACTTTGGGATTCTAATTTTTGTCTCTTTGGGACTTTCATACACTCTTCTCATCCTTCTTTACCTTATTCCTGCATTTTGCGCTTCCTCATTTATAATCAGTCATTAATAAATCCTCTGACATCTTAGTTTAAGAGCCTTTGGAGGGAACATTGTGAAAAAGCTCTTGAAAATCCAATTACGCTGTCTTGACCAGGTGTGTTGGATTATTCCTTCTTCCAGAGCACTGTGGCAGACTTGTTAGTGTACCTTCCTTCCACAGAATGAATGCTGACATTTCACCAGTCCTGTTTGCAGTTGCCAAGTTTGTTCTGTGACCTGTTTTGATTAACAGAAACCTAGAATTTGCATGAGAATTATTCTCTTAATTCCCTGGTAATCTTTAGAGAAACTAGTTACAGTTACCTTCTTGCGTTCCATGCCCGATTTAACTTTTAGGTTATATGCTACTGAAATTTGTGAGTTTCATAATTTCTGATGTCTGGAATACTAGTTCTGGCTCTGCCCAGTAAATATCTCACCAACTTTCGGAACTAGTAAGGTGGTGGTTTGTTTTGTTCTGGTATTTTGTTTGTTTGATTTTTTTCTCTCTTTCCTTTAAGAAGTTGTCTGCTTTGCAGAGACAGATGAGCTATAGAGTTGGGCTAAAGTTGATGAGGAGGACATGCCGAAGATGGTTTCTGAGGTTTCCCTCTTGTCTGTGGCATGGAGAGATGTGGTAACAGAATGTTCTGCTCCAGCTATGTGTAGTAAGTGGCTTGTAAATACAAAGAGAGAAATACAATTTTGAAGCTTAACAATAGAACTGTTGTTTAATGATAGGAAAATGCTAATGTGAAATCCATCGTGTTACTTCAAAATAGGGTAGGAATTTGGGAGCCAGATGAAACATTTCCATATATTTCAATTTTTTTAGTGATTAAATTAACAGAATTTCAGTCACCTGTGTACGTAAAATGTGGAGTTGAATCTTGAGGTAGTAGGTCAGATTATATTCCTTGTAACCTGAGTGTTTGAGGCAAAGACCATGACAGAATAGTCACTGAACACTGAATTTTATCAGATGTGAGAGTACATTCTTGTGTCGTTATATGGATTGAGAAGATTGACTATTTATTTTCATTTTTTTTTAATTTGTTCATTTGGTTTTCTTTGGGGTGCATTTTTTTTATTTAAATAAAATAGAATGGAGAATTGTAGTTGGAATTTTCCAAGTATGATGCATTCAGAATGAGACTTAATACCCACAGCCTGGATGGTTTGACTTGCTTTTTCACATTACTTTGGACAATACTGGAAAGTTTAGCTGGAAATCTGACATTACTTGAAGTTCCCATATAGTGTGGATAAGTGGAGGCATTCCCTCACTCTCATTTTGAAGCTAATACAAAATTGTGGCAATTTAATCATTATTCTAAGTGTGGGAGGAAAAATCTGGGGTCTGCTTTGATTGCAAGACCCATCATTAAAGTTACAAGATTAAATAAAAGTTGCTAAAAGACATTTTTAGAGTAAGAAATTTTTTTAACTATACAAATATCACTGAATAAAATATACATATTAGTGCTAATTATAAACTGGTATTAAAAATTCTGTAGAGAGAAAATGAATGTCAAAACTCAAGAGAGGAAATGCAGGGACTTTTATGGCAATTACATGAATTAAAACAAGTATATGTCATTATGTTACCAGGGATATATTTGTAAACCTACAATGTCTTGACTGGAGTGTACATTAAATTTACCTAGACTTTCGTGTCTTTGTGCCTATCCAGATAAAAGCCATCTGTGTGACATCTGCGGATTACTAGACAAATATAAAGCTTTAAACAGCTTCACAGCTCCTTTTGGTTATTATTTTAGTGGAAAAAAGTCACATTGGCCTTTAAGGAAATGCTAAGTATGCGCCCCTACAATTCTGCAAGTTGAAACATATGCATGTCACAAGTTGTAGTAGTGTTTGAAACATACAGAGAAGGAATGTTTGGCAATTTCTGGTCGATGCTGACTTCAAACTTTTCTTCCAAGACATTGTACCTCTCTAGAGGTTCCTTTCCATATCCTTTCTACCTTTGGGGGGTAAAAGTTTTCTGGGTTACCAGATACTGCATTTCCAACTTGTATCACACCCTGTCTAGGTTAGAGATGACCAGATGGTGCAATCTGATCACAGTACAGCGCTGTGATCACAGTACAGTACAAGTGATTCTCTGCTGATTGTCTGAATGAGTTTTACAGACCCAGTTACAACTGCTCCTTTTCATGTTTAAGGATGATATTCAGAAATGTTAAGTGTTCTGCACTGTATTAAGTTTATAATTCTATTTCTTGCTGCTGCTTGTGATTTTTCAAGTTTTGATATGGCCTGAACTCAGGCTTACTTAATGAGATTTTTGTCTTGAATCTTGACATGTTTGTTGTTGGTCCCTCCCTTGTCCCCCAAAACACAAAATAGTAATTAAGAAGAGCTGCTTTCAGCTCTTTGGGTTTGTGATATGTGCTATTTTTAAACTTTACTCTAAACTTGTTCTTGAAAAGAAAGATGTACTTATTAGTGAGTTATCTAGGAGTTTCTGGAAATATTTCTGTAGATTTTTGTCAAAAAATTCCCCAGATGCCTTTCAAAAAAAGTTCTGGTATGTTATTACCACGACAGCATTTTTTTTTTTCTTTTTAAGTTCTTTGGGGTTTTTTGTACTTTACTTGTTCCAAAAGTGCCTTGGTTTGATTACTGCTTCTTCGGTATTAATCAAGCTCTCTGATTTTAGTGGGGTGTGTATTGGGTGCTTTTTTGTTTGATATTTAGATTTCTTTTTGCGGTGAGATGGTTCTGCTGAGATGGTTTATGCATTTGAAAGTGGATTCCAGAGGCTCATTTTTGTAAAGTCCATCCATGTCTTGTCCTCTCCAGGAATTTCTAGTTTGGAAGAGGAAGTGATGCTGCCAGTTGGCAAAATTACATCTAGAAAGCACTGGATTGTTACAAGTTTATGGGCAAGTCATCGAACCTGCTAGGAAAGTAACTGTAATAAATCCCTGTGTACAGGCAGTGGACGCAGAAGGCAAATCATTAAGTGGTTACAGCAGTTTTAGCTGCTTAGTGGTTTTCTCTCCCACTTGCAATCAGTCGGATTGTTTACACTAGTATGAGATGCTGGGAAACAGCAAAATTAGATTTTTGCTTGCTATTGCATTTTTTTTCTAACCAGGATTGAAGGGGGGGAACAACAACAGACAAAAAACCTTTTGCTACTTTGTTTGGTTAAAGCCTTTTCTGTTGGCTAGGATAGCCTAGGAAGGTCCCTAAAGTACTTTTCAATATTACGTGTTGTTTTATAATTCTTCCATAATTACATGAAATATTGCTCCAGAATTATCCATTTTCATCCTCTATATGAATATGTTCCCTGGTGTATTAAGAGAGCATCGTAGTGTACAGAAGGCCCCTTCTGAATACACTGTATCTAGATTAGTTTCACATTCACTGTCTTCATCTGGAATGCTCATCTTCAGCTCTCGCATACTTCAGTGAGGCTATATTGTGTCATTTTGCTCCCGAGAAAATGCCTGTAATGGGAAGGAAATGTATCTGATGGATATTAATCACTAGAGAGCTTTAGAGGTCATTCCTGAGGTGTTGAACTGGCAGTAGAAGCCATGTGGAGCTGAGGAGATGATAGTACGAAACTAAAGGCTTGTAGCACTCTCTTTTGCAGCTGACACAGCATTGTCTTGTTCTGTACATCTGAATTTAATTTGAAATACAGTATGTAAAGATAAATCAAGTACAAAATGCTGACCACTCCTCGAAATGATTACTTTTTTAAAGCTACTGCACTTGTCTGATGACACATAATAATTTGAGATACTTTGGGGTAGCGTTCTAGCAGTTGAGGGAAGTTTTTGAGTTTCGTGCCTTTCAAATCTTGAAACTACTGAGGGTGGCTTTTAGTCTGATGTATTAGCAGTGCGGAATGGACTGCAGGTTGTCTTCTCAAGGCAAAAGGCTCTAGAGCTTTCAAGGTTGAGAGAAGAATATAGTTTCATTACCTGGACTTTGTTGTACTTCTTATGTAGTCTTGCTTTGTCTTCACTAGACACCCCTCTGAGCTTGGGTTTGTGTGTTAATTTTCTGTGTTGTTAACAGTATCTCACTAGAGAGTAGTTTTGCTAAAGCATCTGCACTGAATGAATCTGCATGTGACTCGCAGGGCTCAAATTTAGAGCATCATTGCATTTGCACACCTGGACTAGTCCTGTTTCTGCTTCCAGTCAAACATTGTTTGCGGGGATAGATGCTGTGTCAGAATAGTATTGTCAGTGTAGGGAGACCTGTGGGTTGATAATACCGTATATTCAGGCAACATAGGTGATAAAATCTGATAATGGGTGCATCAGAAATTTGAGTAGTATTTTTGTGGACTTTCCAACCTCCTTAATGGAATTTATGTGTCATAAGGTTCTTAACAACCTTTTGAAATATCTTATTAGAATGCAGGATTGTGATGTCAGTAGCGAGAACATACTTGTACCTTAATTTCCTGCCTTTTCCCCTTATGTTCACACATTTATTTGATGGATACAACAGAAATGAAACTAACATATAAGAAGTGTGTCCTCTTAATACTTTCAATTCCATTTTTAAAAGCGTAGTTATTCATTTCTGGACATCTTGGTTTTACAGAGGAAAAAAATGGAAAAATATGCATAAATTTATATGGGCAGAGAGAAAACAGAAAAAACATTCACTAAACAAGAACAGCAACTAGATTGTTGTATTGACTGTGTTTTCTTGCTGCTTCGTGTACTTTCAGATATGAAAGCTTTCAGGAACTACTGAATTACAACACATATGAGGAATAGCTGTTTGCCTTTTTTCCACATAAATTTATGAACCTGGAGAAATACTGATCCAGCTGGATACTTTTTTTAGGGGTGTTTTTGTTTCTTTTTTTAGTGCTGAGCATTCTATTACATGACTGTAATAGAATTGGAACATTAGCAGGGGGTTAGGGGACTGTGTAGACTTTGCTCTACAAGTCTACACAGTCCATCTAAAAAAGACTTGAAACTTTGTTCTGAAGTATTGATTTAAAAAAAGGAGTCTTCTTTCCTGTTAGGTGGAAAGTTTGTTTCCCTGAAGTATCCTTGTTTCCATAACAGCTGATGGGTTGTGCTGTCCAAATCTTAAGCATCCAAGCTGGATTTAAAGTTTCCAGCAGTGAGATAATTAATGCTATTATGTGTCTTCTTACTGTGTGGTGGAGGTAGGGTGAGGGGACAATCAGTTTGTTCTTTCTTACGGGTGGGTGGCTTTCCTTTGGTTTCTGGAGGGACGCTACAGTACTGAGTGGCAGTGCCAACAGGGTAAGGCTTCTCCTGTTTGTTTTCTTCAACAATTTTGGAATTTCTGCAAAGAAGCAAGCAACTTGCCAGGGAAAGGCAATATAACTAAAAGCTAATTTAAATGGTTAAATATTTATGAGAAGTTTCTTTTCCCTCTGCTAAATATCTTCTCTAGAGCCTTTATAACACTTCTCTTTAAGTAATAATCTCACTTAGACTTATCCCACAGAGACTTATATTAAAACTTCATATAAGTTTACTTTAATAAAATTGCTTCCTGGTTATATGACAGGAAAATACTTAATATTTGTCTTGCTGTGTTTTCTCTGATGTACATCAACAGAAACAACTGAGTTATCTATAGGGTGAGTAATTATTTTCATGTGTTTACAAGACAGTTAAGTTTGAGGCTAAATATTGATAGATGCATCATTTTTACAGTGTAATATTTGCTGTGCTTACTGAGTTCCAAATGCTGTGTAAAGATGTAGAAAAATTTGACATGGTTCAAGTTCAACAGTCACTCTTCTGTGCCTGCTTTAATCTTCTAGCTGTATTAGCTGCTTTTCTTAATCTAAAATGCTCCTGCTATTTTAGGAGATGCCTACGTAACACACGTTGCCAGCAATTGTACAAAATACTTCACCACTGAACCAGTTGCTCAGGTACCCTGCCTGTCTTTGTTGCTATGGGAGATTGGAAGACTATTACTGTGCCAGTGCTGTCATCAGGTAATATTTTGAATTTAGTGGATTTGCTAATTTTACCTGCGATGTTATAGCTGCTAAAGAGAAAGAGATTGGAGTTTTGTGCATAGCATACTTGACTATATAAACAGAAAGTTAAATAATATGTAGTACAAACAGTGCTCTGGCTTGGATTGAGTCCTTACAGAAATGGTACTGTAAAATGCTTTCCTTTCATATATATGGAAAGGTTTTAAAATGTTTTAGTCATATTTTATTTTTTTTGACACCTATCAGCATATCTCATGTTTATAGAGGTTTCTTTACTTGTTCCGTATTCTCTTGCCTCATAAATTGCTTACAAGTTTGTTAACCTGTGTAGGAAAAAGTAATTTTAAAAATTGTGTTGTAGCAAGTCAATAAGGAAGAAAGTTTGGTCAACTTTTTCTTGGGGGATAAGTAATGTTATTGAGTCTTTAAATCTTCAGTGGAAGCTTATCCTTTATTTTTTGTGAGTTGTTTAATATATGTCATTCTAGATGAAATTCTGAGCTCTAGAATTGTAAATTTCTGTAAATAATAACTTGAGTACATAGGAATTTGATTTTTTTTTTCATGTGATGTATCTTAAACTATTAGCCCTGATTTGTTTCTTAATGTTCAACTTTTAGATAGCAAAAATATATTTCAATATACCTCAGAAAGAAAGAGATCTCCTACAAGCATGAATTCACAAGTGCTACGCTTGCCACTGCCTTCATCCAAAAACATGCACAGCTTTTTCAGTGCCTTCTGCACAGAAGAGAATATTGAACAGAGTATATCCTATATTGATAGGGTAAGCCAGATCTTTTTGTTTATGGGAGGTTGTGTGCAGGTGACATTAAATCAATTGCAGTAAAAAAGATTGGCTGGATTAAGAAGGCTTCTTCCTCAGTGCTCAGAAGCTGAAGTTGGTAGGGGAGTAGGATTTGGGCTTTTCCCCTTAATACAGGATTTCACCCGATACTGTTTCTGTCTTTCGGAGAACTGTGGAACTTTGATCCAATTATTGATCTCTTCTCACCCTCCCCCTCGTCTTTTGCCAGGAATTGACAACATTGGGCTTTCCTTCTATTTATGCGGAATCCAAAGGAAAAGAGTTGAATTTAATATCTATCATAAATTGTATAAATGAATTGCTTGCACTCCAGCACAAGAACCTTCGAGCTCAGGAAGAAGTAGAAATGCAGCATCTGAAACTGGGAAGTGATATGGATCACTTACAGAACTGCTATGCTAAATTAAAGGTAGAAAGCAAGATCATTCAACCAATATTGTACAGTTCTGTGTATTCTTAAGAGCAAGTGCTTTTTTGGTTGTTTTTTTTTCCTCCCGAGTACTAATCTGTGGTTGTATTTTCACGTGCATTTGGGGGTTTTTTGAAGTCATTTTTCCGGTTGAAAATGCCTTAAAGTTAATGAAATATGAGTCAATGAGAGAACTGAAAGCTTATTTAGAATTATGGCCTCTTTAATCAAGGAAGAGGGAAGACTGTTCAGATTGGAAGTGTTAATGCATGCTGTGGGTGGAAATGTTAAACACTTCAGTTCATGTGATTTAGTACTGTTTAAAAGGGTATGCCCAGCTCTAAAAGATAAATTCTCAATATAACTGTAACAAGTAAAAGCATAAGGGAACACATCTAGGGCATTACAGTTTTTATCAGTTTTTCTATATCATTTTTTTCCATGTGTTTTTGTTTTGGATTCCTTGGATATCCGACTACAAAATCTCTTTATAAGAATTGCTCAGAAGCTGTTGTCAAAGTAGAAGTTATTAAGCTTCCTTTTATCACAGGATAAACACATGCACAAGACCAGTCACTGTGGCGTAGCTGATATATTGGAAGTTCACAGACTGTGCTACTTCATGGGTACTTGTATGTGCAGTTATACTAGAAGACACTTGTCTTTCTCTTAATTCTGCCAAGAAAATAAAATATAAAAAGCCTAAAAATATTTCAGTGCAGGATTCAGTGCTTTTTAGGCTTGCTTTTCACTTGGGCTGGCCAGCACTATCTCCTTGAGAAATACTGCTGTAGATTCTCAAAATCATAGTAGTCCTGCATTTTGATTTGACACTAAAAGTCATTTGTAACTGCACTCATTTTTATACAAACACTATATCGTGTTAATTTCCAGAACACTCCAGTTCCTTTCCCTACATGGATAGCTTTAACGTGAAAGGGGCAAACTTATCAGGACTGCATCAATCCCAGGACATTTAATTTGGCTGTCAGCTTGTAAGGTTTCTCACGTAAATTCTTTCAAGTACCATACAGCAATCCTCTTGACTTGCACTATTGTGTTACCTGTATCTAATTGTGGTTTGCTTAGAAGTTCTTGTTGCTTAAATATATCTACACATTTGTCCCTCACTACACAGATGAAGGAAAAGAGCTTGTGTGTTGTGTTTAGATGTCATTTAAGCTGCCAGTTTCAGGTCTGAGTCTCATATTTGTGGACAAAATTTTCTAAAATGCTAGTTTTGCATCATCTGTTTTGAGATCATCTGTCTAGCCTTCTCTATATATGTGACATGTCCCATATGCTTTGTTGTGGTCACAGTCTACATATCTCTGTCAATTGTACTCTCATACCCTTGATTATTTAACAGAAATGTTCCAGTAAAATTGTAGTCCCAAATTCATACAGGTTGCTTAGTATCCACCTCACTTTCACAGTGTGGACATGCTTACAGAATCCCGACTTAATGAAAAAGTCCTAACTATGTAAGGTAATATCTATTAGATATTAAGCCATATCTTAAGTGAGGTGGTTTGGCAGCTTGGTTTGCATGGTTTGATTGGTTTGGTTGGTTAGGTTTTTTAACTCTTACTGTTAATTCTTATTGATACTGAACTATCAACACTTTTTCTAGGAACAGTTGGAATTATCTAAAAGGGAAATAGTTGGGCTTCAGGAAAGAGACAGACAACTGCAAAGCAAGAACAGAAATTTGCACCAGTTACTTAAAAATGAAAAGGACGAAGTGAGTGATTTTGTACATTAACACAAGTTATTATGTAGATATTGAAGAATGTTTTTTTGCACAGTCTTGTAATTGCTCATTTTTAATTTTTTTTTTTTTTGTTGGTAAGTGTTGTCTTTCAAGACAACTGGCATGTTGCATATGGATAAATAGGTTCTATAAGGGGTACATCCAAGTTACAAGAATAGTAGAGAGTATTGCAGAAATGCAGATGTGCAGTTTTCTGAGACTTTCTGTACTTTTAAGTACAACTTTCTTAGAATGTTTGGAAATATCAAAAAGGAGGAGGTGCAACAGGATTCAGTCACTTACTCAAACATCTGTGTATAGAGGCTTTTCTTTTTTTAGTTAGAGGAGAGCAAAAGACCATAAAGAAGGGAGGTGGGGGGGAAATCCAGCTCAAAGGCACAGTCTCATTAAACTTAAATGTCTTGAAAGAATCAAGATCAGAAAACACTTGAACAACCATGGCACTGCTTAGTTTGGGATTTGTTTCCAGTGTGCTCCTTCCCTAATACTGTACTTCACATGGCTCCTAAGTTTCTGTGAATGTTCTTTGTGTCCATAAACATATTCATACAGTTGGGAATCACAGCACTATATGTATATAGTAAACATCCTACAGTTACAACTTACAAACATGCAGCACATTAAATATTTTAAGGTTAAGTCTGAAAATTAGAAAAGAACCAAACCAACACACATATTGATAGTACATGTCAAAAATGTGCTTTATGATTTTTTAACATTCTTTTAGACCAAATGGAATAGAGTAATTTCCAACACCTTCCTGTATCAGGAAGAGGAGTTTATTTTTTTTAGTGTAAACCTAACAAGCCTGCTTTAGAATTAGAGTAAACCTAGATCCCGGTCATGAATTACTGAAAGCAAAGATATGTCTTTCTCTGCTCTGTTAAATAAAGGTGTTAAAGAAGGTTATGCAAGTTGTTGGAACATGAATTCAGCTGTACTTCAGAGGAACTATAGTATTAAAATCTGTTGCTTATGATGTACGTTTCTGCTGAAAAGAGACTACCTCTCCTGAGGTCAGAATTCATGGGTTGGGAGAGTTCTTCTGATTCCTTTTGTCACTTTTACCTGAAATACAGTTTAATAGAAGCATTGTTTTGCATATGTTTTGCATGCAAGAAATTTGTGTTTGTAGTATATAGTTGAAGAAACACACTTTTTTGTGGGATTGCCTTTAGGTTCAGAAGTTACAGAACATAATTTCAAGTAGAGCTACACAGTACAATCATGATATGAAGAGGAAAGAGAGAGAATATAACAAATTAAAGGACCGCTTACGTCAATTAGTCATGAACAAAAAGGACAAAAAGATAGGTAAGTAGCTCTTTGAATTTTACTGCAGCAAAATAGCATATTCTGTATCTTAACCAGAAGCAAATTTAAGCATTTTTATCTTTAAAGGCAATGTGGCCCTCCTCTCATAGATTTTTATTTAGATGTTAGAATGTTAAAAAAAACATGCAATATTTCATGTTAACTAACTGTGTAAGACTATTCTATATTGTGTTCCATAAGATTATTTACCGAGCACAAAACAAATGCTGATCTTTACAAAATGAGGTTTTCTTACTAAGGAAAATTTTTATTTGCAGTCAATTCCTAAGCTAGAGCCATCTCTCCTCTACTTTCTTGCTGCTGCTGCCATCACAATATTTGGATAGTGTCATAAACGCTGTATTACGCCCAGCAGTTGCCATCAGGAAGGCACACTACATGAGCTTTTCCTCCTTGAGATACTACATTCTGCTTGTGGTTAACACAAGCAATGAGAAGTTATAGAGAAGAAGTAACACAAGACAGATGTACCATCTAGTGCTATGTGAAATGAGGACAAATCAGCTCTCCTTTATCATACGAGTACTCATATGTTGTATTGCCCAAAAATTGTGTTCAAGACATTCATCAGTGCTGTTTACCATGAATGGGTTTTACTGTTATGTATTTAAAAAGACCTGTACCTTTTGCTTTGTATATCTGCCTTAGAGTATTTATATAATTTATCTCCAATGAAAGGGAAGTCCTGCTCTTCTCCACCCGTCACCTCCACAACGCTCAGCTATTTGCCAGCAGTAGTGCATGTTATATTTTAGTAAGCTGGTTTAGTTCACTAAACCAAGAAGAAAACTATTCATGTTATTGCCAAGATGGTTTTCTGCTCATTTAGTTTTCTGAAAGTGCTTGTGAATAAGGCAAAACAAGTTAAGACATAGTAGCAGGAACACCTGTTTTGGCTGCAGAAAGTCTTTAGGTATCTGTTCAATAAGCTCTAGAAGCCTCACCCTGAGGTCAGCAAAACTTACGTGTTCTTGATTCCAGTTAGCTGGTCCTAGTTCAAGTGTCAGTGAGCTCAAAATAACAGGGTTTGAAAACTAGTTACTGTTTGCTTGATAGCTAACTAGGATTAAACTTGGAGCTCTAATCTGTAGTCATATGTTGGATTTGGGTTTTTGTTGTTGCTGTGTGGGTTTTTTTATTTTATTCAATGTAGACAGAAGTTTCTTTGTTTTGAGGAACACCTTGTGAAACATTGGGAAGTTGCTTTCCCCAAAGAGGAGATAAAACGTGTTATTGCCAGAAGAGATGGTAGAGTTTATATATTGATATGAAGGTTGAAATAGAGATGAAGGTGTCATTAAGAAATGCATAAAAAAGATGAGACAGGATGAGAATACATCCCTCTGAGCTTCCAAACACAAACCCTGTTTTCTTTCTTTCACTATCTTATTTTTGCTTTAAGCAGGGCAATGTGGTTTCGTATGGGTCTGAAGATTGAGTGGGATATTTGGGTAATGTGGTCTCTTTGCAATAACTACAAGTAAATGCAATGTCATCTGAATATTTATATATTTGCATGTTTTTTCACATTTTGAAATATCCTTTTCATTTGTAGCTATGGAAGTTCTAAATTATGTTGGTAGAGCTGATGGGAAGAGAGGTGCATGGAGGACTGATAAGACAGAAGCCAGGTAGTTGTCTTGGAACATTAATTGAGGCATATATTATGGCAGTTATGTTGTTACTGTAAGATTATTTCTTGTAGAAATGAAGAAGAAATGTACAAAGTTCTGTTAAGTGACTATGAACAACGCCAAAAACAGCTTTTAGTGGAAAATGCTGAGCTGAAGAAAGTTCTTCAGCAAATGAAGAAAGAGATTATTTCACTTCTCCCACCACAGAAACAGAAACCTAAGGAAAGGTCTGAAGATGGGCTGGTAAGTATTGTTCGGTTAAAATTGAATCTCCACGGTAGTTTGGTATAGTGCTGAAGTAATGTGACACTTATTTAAAAAAGTAAACTTCTTATGAGACTTGCAGTGAATTGTACATCATGTGCTTTGTTTGAAATCCATCCATGTTTAAGTGTTCTGCTGTCTGTGAACAATACCCAGTGTATTCTTGCCAGTCAGTCAATGAAAATCTTAAGACATTCATTGAATTAATTTTAAATGCAGTAACTACGAGTATGTAATTCTGTGTAGCAATGCATATTGGATATTTCCTGCATGGTTTTTTTTTTTGTTTGTTTATTTCCAGATTTTAAATATTTCTTTACGCAGGATATTTTTATGGAATGGTGTGCTGCCCATTCACTATTTATCAGAGGTTTTTTATTAATTTTTTGATTCTCTGCTAGAAGTCACAGTTCTGTTTTGATGTCAGAGTGAAGTGGGTCACTTCTGTCTCTTCAGCATTATGCTGTCAGGGAACTGAACTCCTTGAGAGTCAAATTTCCCTGGATGGAAAATTCTTTCCTGTATATAAGGGTTTTCCTTCTCTTCAATAAATTAAATCCGTGCACATATTTAAATAAACACCCATATTTGGAGTGGCAAAGTGGTTTGCAGCTTTTTATTGCTACTTCTACAGGTGCTGTCAGACCTGGAGGAAGATATTGGAGAGTTAAATAAAGAGAATATGTGGGAATTATCTTGTGAAACTGTGCGAGAGCAGCTTACAAACAGCATTAGAAAACAATGGAGAATGTTGAAAAATCACGTTGAAAAGCTGGATAACCAAGGTGATGTTTAACTGTATTACATGTATATATAAAATACATTAAAAATAAGTAATGCAGTGGCAGTTTGAAGTAATTGGATGCAAAATATGTAATTCCCTCTCAAGAGTCTTGTCTTGCCACATCCATATCTCTGAGACCTCTTGTGGCATTGTAAAACAAACTGGCTGATGGTATGGTGCTGGACTCTCCTCATTTCCAGCTGTTAAACAGCATTAAGACAGCTAAAAATATATAAAATTCTTTCCTAGTATTATTTTCCCATGCAAGCAAATGCAGCCACTACCATAGGGATGTTTGCAGTCAGGAGTAAGACTGAGAAGGTCATGCATGCATTTGGAAATAAAAGAGCAGATGGTCTTTGAGAATATGTTTATACCCTGGAAAGGATTTTACGAATACTTGCAATACTTTATTTGGTGTAACTAACTGAAAAATAAGCATCAGGAAAAATGCTTCAATTATTTACTCTTTTCTTGAAGTCCTCTTTTAGGATTTTTGGTTTATAGGGATGACCATAGTCTAGTCCTCTACAATTCAATTAATGTTCAAATACTGGCATCAGGGGATCAAAACTTGGCTCATTACAGTCATTGTGATTTAGCTATGCATTAAATAAAATAAAACAAAACAGAATGTAATTATACAAAATACAATTAATTCCTGTAATTCATTCCCTTACCGAAATGAAAAAATTCATCCCAGTTTGTTAGCTCCATTTCTCCTTCCCAGGACTTGAAGGAAAATGCTTTCTTTTTATATCTGTGATAAATATAGTTACTGTCATATTTTTGTGAACACACAAGCCCTTCAAAAACAAGCTCAGAAGAACAGGCTAACAGCATGTCAGTGGAAAAAAGTCTTCAGTTCTCTTTTTTTTTTTTCTTCTTCTATATGACTGAAACAAGTGAGGATTTTGTGTAACACTCATTGCAATGCAGATGCATGGTGTACCTTGAGGAATGTGAGCCAGCTATGTTTTCATTGCTGGTTTTTTCTGAAATGGATTTGGTGGATGATTACATGTATAGCACCAGTTTGGGATCTCATGTCTCCGATGGAAATGCTTTTGAATACACTTCGTGTCTGTCTTTCGGGATGAAACAAGTAGTCTAAAACCTTTTGCTCTTGCTAGGAGTCTCTAACGTGGGAGATGTTTTAATTTGTTTTTAAGAAGCTTTTCTTCCCCCTTAGTGTCACGTGGACATTCAGGAGCCTGGAATGAAAAAGATGTCATTTCAAGAGAAGACCATGAGCTGGAAACTGAAAAGCTAGAGTTAGAGATTCAGCAATGTAAAGAAATGATCAAAACTCAGCAACAGCTCTTGCAGGTAATAGGCTTTATTTTTTCTTATTTTTCTCAGTTGGATTTGAGTGTTTTTTTTATTTAACATTCCACTTTTCTTACCTCTGAGACTTTCTCCCTTCTTTGATAATGCTTTTGAAATAAAATGTCTTAATTGTTGGTCCAAGTACAGGTGTGCTATTGGGTTGGTTAATAATTTAATGAGTTTTTAATCCTGATAGGAATAATTTCAGAAGCTAAACAAAGGGCAGGAAGGCTGATGAGGTCAGCTGCCTGAAAAAGGGACATTTTCCTTGCTATCTGAAATTTGCCCCCGTCATCCACCAACTTGATATCTGCATTGTTTCCATATTGAACTTCAACCATTTTTCTGATAAAACTGAATCTGTGGAAATACTGCATCTCTTAAGTCACTCCCAAATTAATGTCTGTCTTTTGTTGCTTTAAATCTGCAGCAACAGCTTACATGTGATGATGAGACCACTCTGTTACTACAAGACTGCTACTTGTTGGAAGAAAGAGAACGTCTTCAGGAAGAATGGAGACTATTTCAAGAACAAAAAAAGAATTTTGAGAAGGAACGAAGAAGTTTTACAGAAGCTGCTATTAGATTAGGACTTGAGGTATTAGAAAAGGGAGCTCCAATGGAAGATGAATTACAAATAAGTGGTCTTATACATGCTAAAGGGCAACCATCCAACCATATCTGTTTGCTGGCATCTATAGAAAAAGACATTTCCATACTGTATGAAACATATCTTTGGTCATTCTAGGAGATCATTCTGTTGACAATTCAAAAAGCAAGGCTTTTGTGTGTATTGGAAAATACAGTTGCTGCAACTGGAACAGAACCATTTTCTTTCAGTTTTTGAAATATCTAAGTATTCCAAAATTGGTAATTTATTAACTAAATCGTTTAGATACTGCTTAAATTTGGCTTCCTACAAAAGTAAGGCCTATGCAAGTTTCAGTCAAATAGTGTGCTGCAGAACATGGCCATGCTCATAAATAGCATCTCTTGTGGTCACTGTTGGAGGCAGAACACTGAGCTAGATGGACAACCTGTCTGGCTCACAATACAAAATACTTCAGATTTTACTGAAGATACTGAGACAGCAGTAGTTCGCATGATGACAAATCCTGACTCTGGCTAATTTAATTTCATTTGCATTTTAATGAGTTTGTGAATTTCGTGTTGCACCTTGAATTCAGCTTTAAAAGTCGTGAGTGATAATAAATCATAAATATTTGTCCAGAAATGTTTAGGACTACATTGCAGGATAAGTGTAACTGCCAATGCTTCAGCTTGTTAATATGCTGAAGTAACAAGAGAAGCAATGCTGTAATCTTTGCAGGTGTTTGTGAAAGAAGTGGAGTTCAGCTTCCTCTGTTTTTCTACTGACATAGGTGCATCCTGTTTCACTAATGGTTTTTGGAGATGAAATAGCTTGTTGCTTGATTCCAGAACCATTGGATCTTTTGGAGGATGTCATTTAGGCATTATTTTCCTTTTCTGTACTCAGAGGGATTGGAAAATTGAACAACCCCTTTCTTTTTGCCCCAGTTTTGAACAGAAGTAATCGGTGCTCTTTTCAATGTAATTTTTCTGTTTAGAAGGTTCAAGCAGTAATCTTTTCTGGCAGCTGCCCTGGATGAGGGCTACCTCCAAAAGGTAGTGCTACACTGAGGGGGAAGAGGAGCATAGGAGGCAGAGATAGGAGAGGGTATCACTGGAGTGGAGAGCGGTGAAGTGAAAGGATTAGTTAGATCCCTGTGAAACAAACCACAGGGCTTGGCTTGTAAATAAGTGCCTCCACAATTAATCCTTGTTGGACTCCAAAGCTTGCTCACATGACAATAACTCAGTGTTAAACTGTAGGCTCTCCTTAGTTACGTGAACGTGTTACAACTTGTGATTTCTTAAATAGAATAGCATCAGTTTAATGCGGACTAAGCTTGTTCTTGTGGTCTTAAACTGTTGTTTCTTTTCCTAGAGAAAGGCATTTGAAGAAGATAGAGGAATGTGGCTGAAGCAACAGTTCTTAAGTATGACTGCTGATTGCAAGCACTCTGAAAATGTGACAACTCCAAGTGCCTTCTTAAGAAGCAAGTATTTGGTTCAAATTATATTCTTGTACAATGTTTCTTTTTCTTCCTTTCAAATAGAAGACACAAATATGGGCAAAACCATTAGAAAACCCAAAATGTCTCAAGACAAATTTTACCATGTATCTGTGTGCCTCTACATGTTGGATAACCAATGGTTCAAAATTTCATTTTAAAAAGGAAATCATAGCTCCCTGGTAATTAATTACGTGATGAATTTATATTTGTGAAACAATCTGATGAATGTCAAGTACGTGATAGCAGAGCTGTCAGGAACAGGAACTTTTGAGAATTACTAAATTAAGTTAAATGTGAGCACGTTATTTGCCAGGGCAGTTGAAGAAATCATGACCTATAGAGGTCTGTATAGATTAGAAACAAACAAGTTTTGGAAACAAGAACATTATGTGGAAATGGCAGCATTAATTATTTGAGATGAGGTGATATTAAATGTGTACACATATATATTCAGTAAAAAAGAATCCTTTGAAAAAAAAGAAGCTATGAAAAGAGCATAGTGATAACGAAAATAAGTTTGAGCAATACATAATTGAGGTTTTAGATACAAATTTCATAAATTTCTTTTGAAAATATGGCTATATGATGCATAGTTTTGAATATTGTTTTTAATGGAAATATTTGCTTCCTTTCTTCTACAACTGGATTTTTTTTCAAGTTAGTAAATTTATTTCCCATTCCCTCATGCATGTGCAGCGTTTGATCTTCACTGAGAATTTATTCATTACTTACCTTCTTTCTAAGGGATGGGGGAGCGTGAGACAAACACTAAAGGGACAGGGAACGGAAAATAACAATCTCTCTTCAATAGATTCTTGTCGTGGCAGCCAAAATGTAAAGATAAATGTGCAGACTGCCTGTCAAGTAAATATAGCTTGAATTTGTATTCCTGTTAGATAAAGTAGCCTACCTCGTATGTTCTGGCTTCTCTCTGTTTCTCCTCTGTGCAATTCCTGCTTCTCTAAGTGTGAAATGAAATTATCTTCCGCAGGAGGAACAAAGTTGAGATTGTTTGGCTGTTGCTCATGGATGACTTGATTTAGTGATCTGGGAGCAACTTGAGATCAGTTTAACAGTCATTGTACACTAAAGCTTTTGATTTGCAATTGCTTTTTTCTGAATTCTAGTGTTTCAGGATGTATTTAATGTCATATTTTCTCTTCTAAATGGCATTCTTCCATCTTGTATATCCTAATCCTAAGCTACTGGATAATAGTAATGAAAATAATACATCTGCCATACAGAGAATCATACTCCACATGGATGTTACTCCACAGCTTATCATTAGAGTTCTTTTAATGTTCAATTTTTCTTTTTCACAACACTTGTCCAAAAGCTTTTGCTTCTGTAGTGCTGTAATACTGTAGAATGTGGAATCATTCTGTTTTTTCCACTTGATATGAAAGCTTTGACATCTAAATGTGAGAGAAGTTAGCAGGGATTGATCTGCCAAGTTTGCCAGGACTTTCCATTGACTTGAGTGATAGTTCAGTTCATATAAATGCTAAGGCATCTAACTTAATGCTTTTTAATTTTGTTTTCTATACTCTGACAAGTTTACTGCTTTTCATGCTGGTGTTAATTACTATCTGTGCGTGCTGGAGAAGTCTTTACTTAAAGAGTAAAAAAGCTTTATCAATTGTAAAGTGAGAAACTACATTTGAGTAACTTCATATGACTACTTGCAGTGGTGGCTGTGTATGCAAATGCTGTGTTTCCAAATTTAGAATCCTAATTTTAACATAACTTGATTCAATAGCATTAGTTACAAAATTTTAGCACAGATCTGTAGCAATAAGTTTTATTATTATAAACATGCCTTAAGATGTTTGCTGTGTCTTTTTTTTTTTTTTTTTTTTAAAGCAGAAGACCATGAAAATTTGAAGTACTTTCTGTTTTCCAGTTGCACTGTAGTTTAACTGATGGTATTTGTATCTCTCAGGTTCTGACCAAGACAACTGGTTAGTGAAATCTACATCTCAGCAAAGGAAACCTCCCTCTGTGTTGAATGGTTCTGTTTCAGCAGAACCTTGCCAGACATCTCAGTATATTACACATAACAGGTTTGTGAAATGATGGTGTAGATGGTTTTATAGTGATGAACTCTATGTAGAGCATAGACTAAAAGCATAATCTAAGCCTTACAGTTGGTATATAATAAAGGATATTAAACATAAACCTAGTACTCTGTTTCTATTCAAAGCATAATTTATTTGCATTGTAACATTTTTCTATTTTCCACTTCCAGCGTTGAATCAAAAAAAATTGCTGGAGATAGCATGCCAAATCTGTGGGTGGAAAGTGATGACAAAGAAGAAACTGGAGAATGCACCAAGTCATGGGAAGACTCTGGAGTTGGCACTCTGCTCTGTAGAAACTTGCACATGGAACAACTGCCTTAGACTTCTGAGGGTTGCCTGCTGGGGTTTTTGTTAGACATTTGTTCATAAACTTATCGTTCTAAATGAAACAGAATGCTGTAGTTTGATCATTCTTCCAGAGGATTATGTGGTGATCTGAATTGTGGTGTGTGTATGTGCGTGCACCTGGCTTTTATTTTTTAGACCATTTTTTGCCTCTTTTTCTTGCAACTCTTGAAAGAAGACAATTTAAAAATATATAAAAGCATTGATATTTTTCTAGTAACAGAAGCTCTGATTCTATGAATGAAGCAATGGTCTGAAACTTTGACTGTAATGAAATACTGGATCCTAATGTTACCTTTCATCACAGGCAGAGATAGTACTTTTAGAAATTGTTTAATTACTGGAAGCATTCATTTATGTTTCAAGTGTAACTGGCACTAGATCCTCTTTTGCCTCGACTTGAATGTACAGTATACTGTAGATTTTTAACAAAACAGGTTCTATATTTATTGTGTGATTTGAAAATACCTCTTTGATATTTCAATGACGTAAAGCGCAAAATCTTTATATATTTGTAAATAGACTAAGTGGTCATGCTGAGAAACCATGAAATTAAACACGTGCGTACATAAATATTATTTTACATTGCATTTTGAATTGTTTTATAGTGATACTCAGTTTACAGATGCATTAGGACTTTCAATGGTTCAGTCAAGAACCAAAGTCTTTTGAATGTGAACAATAAATGTGTAATTCTATTCTAAAAAGCCCTGGTTCTATGTTTTGTGTGCACTAAAGGTATAAGCTATCATGGCTGTAGGGTTGTATACAACGTCTACCAATCTGGTGCTGGTTTTGTATTATGTTAATTTTTCCTTTTAATTGACTCCAGAATATTTTTTTCGTGTAGCCTTTGGGGAGTCTCTTGTTTATAATGTAATAAAAATAACCAAGTAGAGGTAAGATGTTTGAGTCTCCTTCACTTGACTAAATGCCTGTAATTTTCCTTGCCCAGTACAAATCCATCTTGCCTCTTGTTGAGTTTTTGTGCGTCTGTGATCATGTGTATAGCTCTAATCCTGGTGTAATTGGCCTTTTGGAAGATGTCTAAGAAAATTCTACCTTTCTCAGGGTCATAGGCAGGCAATTAGCTCAAGCTTAGATTCCTTCACTGAAAATACATAGCTGCTCTGCCCATTTTCTTCAGAACTGGGTGTAATGTAGTGATTGGACTACATAGAAAAATAGCAGTGGAATAACATAGAGAAGAGAAGAAACTGGAGTTCTTCAAGAAGCTAAGGCAGAAAGCAACAGTTTCTCCTGCTTAGTTCAGTACACTGAGTTACTGCTTGAGATGAAGTAGTAGCCAATGTAAACTGCAGAGGATACTTGTGTGGTTTTCACATGGCACCCTTCAGGAAGCAGATGTAATGATATTCTTGGTTGGCATTCCGCTGCATGGGTAGTGGGGTTAGAAGGGCAAAACATCATATTTCTCTGTTTCTCCAGTTCTTCCCCAGTAAATGGGTGATCTCAGTCATGTCATTTGCTGCAGGTGTTTAGCAGGGTATAGTTACTGTTGGGTTTCCCATAACATGTTGGGCAGTTCTTGCCTGAATTTTAGTTATGGAAGAATAAAAACACATTGAAAAATATATTTAAATAAGCAAAGTGAAAAATGTAATATACTAAGTGGGAGAACAGTACTATGCACATAGAGTTATTTTCAAGGCAGGAGGTGACTGCAGGCCCAGAAGTCCATGGCTGAGACAGGATCCAGATGCCACTAGGGGCTGCTGCTGCCTTAAGGTGAGCTTGGGGGTGCCTTACTGGGACACTTACATGCATTTGCTTTACTTGGGCCTTCCTTTCTTCAGACTAATTTTCTTCATAGAAGTAACTTTTAGGATAATAATGCCTTGAAGAGCAAAATCTTTTGTTTGTGTCTATAGAGTGATTAGCAAATAATAAACATTTTGTAGTAATTCTTTGCTTTAGCTTTTGTAACCCATCTTATGGAAATGTATTTAAGTGCTTCCATAGGAAAAGCAACTGTGCTAGAAGGGTGTATGCAGTTGAGTCCTGAGCTGGCCTCAGGCCTGGAAGTCGGGGATATAGATTCAGTCCTGTCTCTGTAAAGAAGTAAACCAGTTTTTGGATGACTCTATATACAGTGATTGGGAAGCTTTTAGATCTGAAGCTGCTGCTAATAGTGGTATGACTGCCGCAGATGGTGACAGTGTAGTACTTCGTGGTGTCAGAAACAACTGCAGGATCTTACTCAGAGACTGTTGAAGAACAGAAAGGGAGGCTTCTTGCAGGAATGTAGTACAGGTGTGTCACTTCTCATACTTGTATATTTGAGGTAAATGAACAAATGCCCTACCTAAGGAACAAGAAATACAGACTACCAGTGACTGATTACCGTACAGCTATTGTTAGCTACCTATGCATGATATTGAAAAGATGAGTTGTTACCTTAAACTGTGGTGTTTCATTTCACAAAAATCTTTAAATATAACATTGCTGCTTTTTCAGTCTGTGATGGGAGTGCTTTTACCATAAATATTAGTCTGATTAGGTATGAGAACTTACTTTCCAGGATCATATTAGAACTGATAATTTTTTTTACCTCTCCTCCCCAATGGTTAAGGATAATACAATGTAGCTTTTGCAATATAGACTGTACAGCAAAGAAACTAATAAATGAAAATTTTTCTTAAGAAAACTTTTTCTCCCTACAAAACAACCTTCTTCCTAATTTGGAGAACTTCTTCCACCAGATTCTGCAGACTTGTAGCAGGATAAAAGTATTCCTATGTGTATCAAAAAAAATCATATCCTAGCTTTTTTTTCAGGGCTCATTCTGTGTACACTTCAACCAGGTCAAGGTAACTGATGTATTTAGGTAATGTCAATGCAAACATTATTCTTGAAAGGAAAATTGAAGTATATGCAGGGTAATGGCTTTGCTGTATATATTGAATTAGCAGCGTAGTTATTACTTGTACAGCTTTTTTTTTTTTTTTTAATTTGCAGTTATCACAAAGCTTTTGTGTGTGAAGGCTTTTGCAAGACATCTTGTTTTTAGATTTTTCCCTTCCACTGCCCCCGTCTGATTTGCCATAGAAGTAGATGACAAGGTACTAAAGGTTGATGTAGTTGGATAGAAAAACTGATCTGAAAAGAAGTGTTGAAATTAACAGATGATTTATTTATTGCTTTCAGACAATAAATCTGATCTCTAAATCTCTAATGTTCACTATGCCCTGCAAAGTTACACTGTAATAAAAAAATAAAATTCCACGGTATATATTTTGTTGTATTTTTCATACTGACACAATGTTCATGTTCCCTTATTCAAGTGTGGAGTCAAATGGAATGCATAACAGGTAACTTTGTTTTAAAGAAATGTTTAACAAAAAATTAATTACCACTGTATGAATGCACTTGCCCCTTTTGTAATGAAAAGCTTGTCACCTGCAGCATAAAACATGCTTGTTCCCTTGAACATTATGGATTGATAGTTGTGAAAAAGGAGACATTTCTTGCTAGTGTCTACCCTTCACCCCTCAAATGTAGGCTTCTGCAGTGAGCTGGGTGGCAGTTCCTGAAACAGAGGTCGCACAACCCAAGGGGGATTTACATCCCACATGTAATCTGTTTGAAAAAGTCAAGACTTGTGGAACTGACAACCTGGGAACAGCAGTTGCTAATGGGAGACTGTAGAAACTGCTACAATAGAAAATAAGCGTTCATTTCTGGTTGTTTAAGTGATGTTTGCTACAAAGCTTGCTCTCGTGGTTAACCTTAAAACCACAGGTAAAGTAGGAGTAGAAATAAAGTGTCTGATTACCCAGTATGTCGTAGATATTGAGTTTGAATTGGATTCATGGGTTTTGTATGACTTAAAGCCCACAGTTTATTGTGTTGCCTGAATTTATTCACCCAGAAACATCCTCCAACTCAGAAGTCTGTGCATTTTTCTTGCCTTTTTTGTTGATCCAGATGCCACCCAGCTCAATTTGGGAGATTGTGTAACTTATTTGGGGGATTGACCAGACTCATTCTTCCCTTTCTGTGATTATCAATCTATCACCATACTCAAAAAGGCCAAGTGTGTTTTGTGCACCTCTGCTTGCCTCTGTGGCCCTGACGTTTCTAGAACTGAACACTTCTGTGAATGTGCTCCTGGGCTGTCGCTGTAAATTGATGATGAAGCTGGCTGCCAGCCTACATCAATTCAGATACTTCAGCTGCATTTTGTGTTTAACTCCTTAGGAAATACAAAGTTCTAACTGACCTGCACTCCCACTCCCCCTGCTTCTCTGGGAAGAGTCTCTGTGGCTTTTAACTGTTCAGATTTGGCTGTCATTTACCTTGAAAGATAAAATATTTACTGATGGCTTATGAAATCTTTGTTCATTTAAAAAATATTCCTGGTCAGTGTGACCAGAGCTGAAAGGACATACTGGTCTTCTCATTTATTTAAATGAATATATGCATTCCATATGTTGGGGTTTTCAGTAGAATGTTAAATGTGCTTTGGTGCACAGAGGAATATAATAGCAAGGGACTATCTGTCCTCGTCTCCTGTCCAGGGAGGTGTCTGTAAACCAATGCTGAGGGAAGAGGAAGAACACTGTTAATGTGTTCTGTGATACTGACTCTGTTAATTGGGCCGCTATCATCTAGATATCAGTTTGGGTCACATGCCAGGTCAGCATAACCTGGGCAAAATCAAGCTAATCTGTGGCAGACCAAATGCAAGCACACAGCTGTGACTCAACCTAGGAATTAAGTAATGTGTTTATTGTAAATTCATTGTAAATGACCTAGTAAAACTTATTAGGATAAGTAGAAGCTTTTAAACAGTTCTGCAAAGGGCTTATGAGATAATCAGTGAGATGCCAAGGTATGACTTGACTTCCATTATTCCGTCTGAAGAGAAAGTATGATTGCAAAATGAAAGTGTTTACATAAACTGATAAAAAACTTGAGAATTCAGCAGAACGCAGCCACGTGTTCCTGAGCTTTCTTCCATAAAAGTCTCACCATGTCTGGCAGAGCCTCATTCGCCTTCACTATGAGGGGAATCGTATTTTTACTAGCGCTCACCCTTGTAGGTAAGGCTACATATCTCTTCTTCACCTTTCTTTCCCAAAATTTCCTTCAGTTCTGCGGCAGTGTTGGATCTAGATTGAACATTACTTATCTGCTTTTCCATCTCTTTTTACAGGTAGCCAGAAGTTTGACTTTGGTAAGTAAATTTCCTTCTATAACCTTTTCTCCGTGACTTTGCTGTTATTTCTATTTATTAGAACATGCTTGCAAGTGTTGTGAAAATGGCTATTATTTCCCACAGACCCTGGATTCAGTAGTAGGAAGAGCTACTTGTACAGCTATGAAGGCTGGGTGTTGAATGGGCTTCAAGAAAAGAATTTAGCCAAAGCTGGCGTACGCCTGAGCAGCAAAGTAGAGATCAGCGGGCTATCAGAAAACACTTACCTCCTCAAGGTACTGCGTCTTCTTTCAAATGTGCCATGCAACATTAAACTAAAATCACGGTTGTAATTGTACCTGGCTAATCTGGGGTGTAGGAAAGCAGCAGAAAACACAAGTTGAGACTTACCACTGTCGATGTCAGAGAATGATCTGCAAGCTACGATTTCAGAAGTGAGGAGACACTGGTGTCAGTTGTGGAAGTTGCTTGTAGCAGGTGTTCCTCGAGACTTTGCATCAGAAATACAGCTGGCAGGGATTCCGTTAGAAAATGCCTGTTTCTAACTCAAGACATTTAAGCCTGCTCAGAGTTTAAGATTTGATTCTAGTCTCAGCACACATTTCCAGCTCCTGTGGGAAGCCAGGACTTGGGTGTATAAAATCATTGTCATGAAGGTAATTGATAAACATAGACTTAAAACATGATAAGAGCTAAAGATAAAAAGTGTTATAAGAGTAAAAAATGAAAGCAATCAAAAAGGAGTACATAACAATGTTTAGTGTCTGAATAGTGCAGTAAAAGATCTGGACATGTGAAATCATGCCTTGCTGACATCAGCAGTGATAGGACCTGATTCATTCAAAATAGGTATATTTCGGAAGAATACTTTTGTCTGTTTAATTCAGTCAAAAATCAGAGCTTCTTTTTCAGGCATTGAATTCAGTGACAGAGCTCTCACTGGTTATAGTTGAGCTGTAGATCTCTCAAAATTATGGGCTAGGTATTGTATTGCACACTACAGTCTTCATCCTGAAATTTTTATGTGTGTGCACTAGGCTGTGCTCTGAAGCACCTGAACTGGCAGTAACTTTGCCAAAGTTACTGAAATTGCTTCTTATTTATGTTCTATCTCAGTGTGTATAAATATATTGTTCATTATTAAAATATTTGGGTTGATTTAAGCAATTCACAAATATGAATCAAACATAGTGACTCGTTTGGTAAAAGAAAAACTGTATGGGGATATGATGTAAACTTTTTAAATGCTAAATTTTACCTAAAGCAGAATATTTATTTTAAGGCTGAAAAAAGGGAGATTTTTATTTCAATTTTTTTAAATTACATTTTTAATCATCCTTTTTCCCTATAAAGTTAATGCAAGTAAAATGTTTCAATGTCCCTGAAAGACAATAGCAATATGTTAACTGCTTCTGTAAGATAAAATAGCACTGCTCAGCCCCCAGGTTTTGCACTGGTTTTACAATAGTTTAAGCAAGAGACAAAAGAATAAACTTCTGTATGACTATCTAAGCCTATATTTGGAAGGAAAAAGAATCTAACTAGTGGTTATGTTGATTTCTTCCAATTTATTTGCATATTTAGTATCAAAGTAATTTTATTCTCCTAAGTGTCTTTTCTGAATTTCCTCCCAGATCCGCCCTCCACAATTTGAGGAATACAATGGCATCTGGCCCAGAGACTCGTTCGCTCGATCTTCCAAAATCACCCAGATGGTTTCCTCATGCTTTACCCAGCCCTTCAAGTTTGAATACAATAGTGGACGGGTTGGAAACATTTATGGCCCGGAAGACTGTCCCAATACTTGCATTAACATAGTGAGAGGAATACTGAACATGATACAGATAACCATTAAAAAGTCACAGAATGTGTATGAATTGCAAGAGGTTTGTTTTTTTCCATTCTAGAACTACTTTAATGAAAGGTTGTGTTCCCTTTAATTATTCTTCCTTTGAGTTTTTGTTTATTTGCAGCTATGTTCATAGTAAGAAAAAGATGATTTTCATTCATATAGAGGAAAATGTGTGTATATGCGTTGAACAAATTAACTGTGCTGAATTTTTTCTAAGACATCTCTCTTTAAGTCTTAACATGCAACCCTTTGGAGAAAAGAGAATTATTAGCTGTGAATTTATTTGTTATATGGCTTCCCTGATACAACTACTTGACCCATTTTATTTGTTAATTGTTGATATGAATTAATTGATTACTTTTTAATTTTAAACTCCATCCCCTGACTGAGTATTGTTCACGTGCCAATATTTTAGTTCAATAGGAATAATTGTGTGTAATGGCAACAGCTTTCAAAACATAATTAAGACTGTTCAGTAGGTACTAACCCTCATATTATGCATTTAAAATCTTCATTCAGTAAAACAACTTCTCACACAGTGAAACTCTGATATAATTGGGAAGTCTCATTATCTGTGTTCATCTGCCAGGCTGGAATTGGAGGTGTTTGCCATACAAGGTACATCATCCAGGAAGACAGGAAGAACAGCCGGGTCTCTGTTACCAAAACCGTAGACCAAAATAATTGCCAGGAAAAAGTGGTGAAGAATGTTGGAATGGCTTACATCTATCCTTGTCCTGTTGACATGATGGTATGTGAGATGTGAAAAGATCTTCCTAGTTACAAGCACGGCCATTCTGTACCCATTCACTCTTTGTTCTCTGTCCTCCCGCAGAAAGAAAGGCTCGTAAAAGGGACTGCAGCTTTCTCCTACAAACTGAAGCAGTCAGACAGTGGTACCCTGATCACGGAGGTGGTGTCTCAGCAGGTGTATCAGTTCTCACCACTCAGTGAACCTACTGGTGTTGCTGTCATGGAAGCAAGGTAGGTGGAACATGGGCTTATTTCACAGAGTGAGAATAATTACAGGTTCTATCACTCCCTTTCTCTCCCAATTGAAGTGAAATGAGAATTGAGCTCCATAGGAGTTGGATAGAGGTCTGAGTACTCACTCTTGGGGTTTCCACAGTCCTTAAAGTTCAGCAAACCATTCTTTATTTGTACTCTGGTCAAGCTGGCACTACAACTACATGGGAGAAAAGGAGAAAAGCTGTTTTTCTTGCTTATACCATAAGAATGCAACTTTACTGTTCTGCTTGTCTTGAAAAAGGGGTAATTGATAGTGTCAGGCGGAAGATGGTGCACATAGAAATAAGATCATTCATTACACTGTGTCGGTAGCTCTCACTCAGAAGACGGAAATTTCACTTCTCCTTGGAAACAATTTCATTGTAGATAACTCTAATACCATTTTGTTTCAGATGGAAGGCTTTATTCATTAGCAAAAGGTTTTACTGTGATAAGAAAAATTATTAAGGAGTAAAACTGATACCATCACAGTATCACTGAAGCAACAAATAGCCAAGGCAGATGGATGAAAAGAGCTAATGCCTTTCTCCCATGACACTTGTCTCTCGACAGACAACAACTCACCTTGCTTGAAGTGAGAAGTGAACGGGGCAGCTCCCCAGACCTTTCCATGCAGAGCTATGGAGGCCTGCGTTACCAGTTCCCAGCAGAATTGCCACAGATGCCATTGCAGCTAATCAAGATGAAAAACCCTGAGCAACGGGTAGAGTATTTTTAGGCCTTCCAACTGATTTCCTAATAATAAAAAACCCCAAAATAATAATTATCATAAATTCTAAATAATGTAATTATGTAAGCCCTCTCTCTTGTGTTTTGTAACAGATAGTTGAAATACTGCAACACATAGTCCTGAATAACCAACAAGATTTCCATGATGATCTTCCATACCGATTCCTGGAACTTGTCCAGCTCTGCCGGATAGCAAGTGCTAACGTGCTGGAGTCCACCTGGAGACAATGTTCAGATAAACCCCGCTATAGGTACTTCCTTGTATCAACTTGTAAGAAACTTTTCTGGCTTTGGAGAATTGAGAGTGAAAATCAAGGAATTTTTTTTGCCTCTACTTGCAGGCGATGGCTGCTGAGTGCAGTTTCTGCAACAGGCACCACAGAAGCACTCAAATTCATTAAGAGCAGAATCCGCAATGATGACCTTAACCACCTTCAGGCTCTTCTAAGTGTTTCCTTTGCTCTCCATTTAACCAAAGCTGATGAACACACTGTTCCAATAGCAGCAGTGAGTAGATCTACGTGAATCCTTCCTGTCTGATAACAAAAGGAATGATAATTGCTGACATCCTTTGATTATTAAGCACATTAGAGACTGGATTCTCCTCTCGTATACACTAACTTTGTGCAAATGTTGACCTGTGAGTTTCTTTTGGCATTACATTTATGAGAGGAGAGTTCAGTCCTCTGTCTTCATTTCCCCGCATTAATATAAAGCCCATTTTGGTTTGCTGGGATCACATGGCATGCCTTCTACAGACAAAACGTTGTCCACTTCAATCTCCTACTTCTGAAACAAATGGTCATTTGTGTGTTATGTCACTTGGACAGCTCTTTTAATTGTGAACTGTCCCTACGAACAGGAAAGTGCTGCAAGTGAAAGTATTTGTGCAAGCATCAAATATGTTGACACTATAATGAATCATTTATTCTGAACAGGATTTTTGCTGTCTCTAGTCTATATTCTCCTTCTTGATGAGGAAAAGAGGATATGAGAATGCATTATTAACATAACTGAGTTGCACATTTCTCTAAGGTTATTCCATTTTTACAGTGATGTGTATCCATAATCTTTGTGTTTTGAGTGTCATGTTCAGTTGAGGGACAATGTAAGCTTATATATACATATATATTGAAACTAGCAGGGAATTAAGCTCCAAAGTGAAGCTTCCAAACAAAATGTCTACAAGCTACTTTAATTTGTTTGGATGCAACAATAATTATTCTGAAATTGATCCCCTCAGATCTGATGAGTTTCCTGCTCTGAAAGCTTTGTGAAGCACTGTATTAAATAACAAATTTTTTTTTTCCTCATAGGATTTAGTGACCAGTTCTCGAATCCAGAAAAGTCCCCTACTTCAACAAGTTGCTAGCTTGGCATACAGTTCTGTGGTCAATAGATACTGTTCTCAGACCTCAGCTTGTCCTAAAGAAGCTCTCCAGGTGGGTGGCTTTTTTTCAGGTTTTTTTTTTTTAATAGCTTAGTAATGCTTATTTTATTACCTTAATTCTATTAGATACAGTATCAAAATGGCAATTGGACATGCACATACACATTTCGTAAGTCTCCTTCAGAACCAAGGCAATTAATTGTTTTATTAATGTAGATACTGCTTCAGCGTTGAAAACAAAATTTTCACATTGCAAGGGTAAAATCCTGAGAGAAGCCACCACTGAGTGATTTTATTAAAACCAGTTGCTTTATTGTGATAGGGTTTTCAGTGGGTAAGGGGAACACTGTGGACAATCTGTACATTAGGAAGAGAAGATTGAACTATGCTTTGTCTATAGCCCATCCACGACCTGGCAGATGAAGCGATCAGCAGGGGCCGTGAAGACAAAATGAAATTAGCTCTGAAGTGCATTGGCAACATGGGAGATCCAGCCAGCATCAAGCGCATCCTGAAGTTCCTTCCCATATTTTCATCCAGTGCTCCTGATATCCCCATCCACATTCAGATTGATGCCATAATGGCCTTGAGAAAAATAGCTTGGAAAGACTCCAAAACTGTAAGTAGGATCTAGTAGCTTTTCTTTACTTAGTGAATTAGACAATATATACTGTAAGGGTAATGAATTTAATGGTATGATGTATGTGGATTCAACATGTTTAAAAAAAAAAAAAAGATTATTTTTAAGAAAAATATTTTACAATTTTATATTTAGCTGATATTTTCTGCTAAGGTGTAATGATTATTAGTCAGCAGGAAGTTTCCAGAAGGATATTAGCAGTATTTCTTTCATCATCTGTCATAACCAATTAAGTCCTGTGCTAGTTATATTTAGTGGACATTTAGCCGACTAAAAGTCAGCCATATAATTTAAACTGCCTCTGTAGTAAGGAGGAGAGAGAGAGAGACTTTCTGTTAAACTCCTAGACAAAATATCAGCATTGCTCTGCCTCTTTTAGACCCCTTCCTTAAGGTTGGATGAGTCACTACTGATCCCTTACTGAAGTTGCTTTCACAGTAAGTGTAGGCAAGACTCCTGCCTTTCAGATGGTTTAGGTTTAAGACCTCTATGAGAAACAATTCGCTCAGACTGTCTTTGGCAAACTGATGAAGCTCCTCTTTTAAAACTGGTCTAAAACAGTGAAACACGCTCACTTATTCAGTGGAGTTACTCCAAAGAATGAATCTGTCTTATTATCTACAGTTGTTTCTTCCAAAGTTATTCACTAATCTTTGAAGGGCAGTAATGCACAATGCAATGCTGATGTCTTTTTGACTGTGGTGAGTTGGCTCAGTACATTGATAGATGGACATTTATTTCAGATTCAGTGCCAGGTCTTCTCCATGATGCTGTTCCACCATGGCCCCTTCAGTTGTCTGAATAAAATGATGTGGAACCATGCAGTAAAAAAGATCAGGAAACCTTTCTGCAGGGATAATGACACCCTGTCCCACATTTCTTGTGGCTTAGGTGTGGACTGAGTTTGGAAAATTGTCTCAATTATTTGGTAATTCCAGACACTGTTTTCTCTCTGCAGGTGCAGGGATATCTCATCCAGATCCTTGCAGATCAGTCGCTTCCCCCTGAGGTGCGCATGATGGCTTGTGCCGTTATCTTTGAGACAAGACCTGCCCTTCCTTTGATAACAACGATAGCCAATGTGGTGATGAAGGAGAGCAATTTGCAAGTGGCAAGTTTCATGTATGCCCACATGAAGGCTTTGGCAAAAAGCAGGTTGCCGTACACGTACAACATGTGAGTAGAGACAGGAGCAAAGCAGGTGATCTTCTGCAAATGAGTTCTGTTACATTCTTTTTGGTGAGCACTGCATGTGCTGATAACTGAAGACAGTTTATATACTGATGGGGTGCAGCTTGTTTCTGGATATTATTACCTTTCTCATTTTGTTTAGATCTTCAGCTTGCAATATCGCCCTGAAGATGCTGGCCCCCAGATTGGACAGGCTGAGCTATCGGTATAGCAAGGTGATACGTGTTGGTGCTTACTTCGGTGAGTAAAAGTGTTTCAGGGACCAGGAAACTTTCACTTCAGAAATCCATTCTTAGGAGATATTAAATCCTTTGGAGAAATAAGGCATTCTCCATTTCAATGAGAAATTAAATTAAATATGAGGGTCACATGTTTAAAAGTGCATGTGTAGCCATATAATAATTTCTGACTAAACAAGATTTATGTAATGATATATCTACATATCATTACATAGTGTATGATATATCAGTGGAAAAATCTGCAGAAATATGATCTTGAATGACAAGCAGAATGGTTAGAAAGAAGATGTGTCTCTTGTTTACTTCTACCGTAGATAACTATAAAGTTGGTGCTGCTGGAGACGTCTTTATTATGAACAGCCCAGGAACAATGTTCCCATCAGCAATAATTTCCAAGCTGATGGCATATTCTGCAGGGTCAGTGGCTGATTTGGCGGAGGTAAATATTTGCCTAAATCAATGATAAAACAAAATTAAAACTGATGACGAAGTGTCACCTCTGTAAGTATGTTTCAGACTGCTCCTTCTCATGCTGTTTTGGTAGGCTGGTGTCCGCGTGGAAGGCCTCACAGATGTCATCATGAAACGAAATATCCCATTTGCTGAATATCCCACATACAAAAAGATAAAGGAGATTGGAAAAGCTGTAGGTATTTTCACTAATGCAACGTGTGGGTTACATAAGGGGGTATTTAGTGAAGCTTCTTGTAGTAGTGAGGCTGTCTCAGAAGATAAATTACTCTCATAGCAGTCAGCTCAAGTATTTCTGTGAAGGGGAGATATGCAATGGGTCGGCAGGGGACATCTGCCATGGCTGCAATAGCTTCTGCCAGTTCTTTCTCAGGCTCTGCCTCCTCCCCACCTCACAGATGGCTGCAGAAGGAGCACGGGAGGCGAGGGAAGTGGCAGGCATTGCAGCATGGTGTGTCACATGCCTGGCAGGCTTCCTACTCCCTCCCTTCATCTATCTAACCTAGTTTACAGGAATATACCTTTGTCTTGAAGAGAAACGATTTTTTGGTTTTTTGCTGGTTTTTTTCCAACTAGGTTTAGTGGTATTAATGGTCCAGAGCCTCTGTGTAAGTGTTATTGCATTGGAATACCAAACACTAGACTGGAGCCTATTCATGGGCATCTCAATGGCAGGAGAAAGTCTGAATTAGTGCCACCATGCTATTTATGATCAAAAATTTTTCAGTGGAAAATGGCAGCTTGGCCAGTGATGGGTCTGGTCACCTTGCTGAATTACCATTTGTAAAGCGTTGCATTAAGAAACTTTGCTTGTTTCTTTATCTGTTCCTCAGCTGTTGGGATGGAAGGAGCTGCCAACAGAAACCCCCTTGATATCAGCCTACTTGAAACTCTTTGGCCAAGAGCTGGCCTACATCAACATCAATAAGGAAGTCCTACAACAGACTGTGAAGGTACCAGACACCCTTACTTCTCTTTGCAATTTTTGACACCATTGTACTTTCATATCCTAACCTTGGATGTCTGTTTTATTGCAGACTGTGCTAGAACCTGCTGACAGGAACACAGTGCTGAAGAGGCTCATTAACCAAATCCACAGTGGCATTGCAGGACAATGGACACAACCAGTGTGGCTGGGAGAGCTGCGATACATCGTGTCTACCTGCACCGGTCTGCCACTGGAGTACGGGTCATACACGGCTGCTCTGGCCCGGGCAGCAGTCAGCAGTGAGTTGGGCAGTGGAGATCAGCTGTGTGTGTGGTGGGAGCAGGTGCTGCACTGCGGGGTCAGGCTGCCCCCTCGGGAGGGGACCCTGACAGACTGGAGCGGATGGCCCAACAGAAGTGTGATGAAATTCGACAAAGGCAATGCAAAGTCCTTCACACCTGGGATGGAGTAACTCTTGCGAGTGTATAGGCTGGGCATCACCCAGACAGAAAGCAGCTTTGCAGAAAAGGGCCAGGAAGGCCAGCACAAGCTGGTACAGTAAACCAGCAGTGTGCTCTTGTGGTGATGAAGGCCAACTGCATCACTGGCTGCAGAAGCAAGAGTAAAGCTAGCATGACAATGATTTGCACATTTGAGACTGCATCTGGAGTACAATGTCCAGTTTTGTGTCCACAGTACAAGAAAAATATTCACACTTGATGTGAGGAAAGATTAGAGAGCAAGAGTTGTTTAGCCTGGTTGTCCTTCATCCACTCTGACTCCCCCCATTTCCAAAATTTTAGTGTTATAGTAATTATCAGACTTTTGATTTGGGTCAGTTCTTCATTTTTTTAGTATATTTTTATTTCCATTTTCAATACATTGCATCAGAACCTTTGTCTACATAATGATCTTTCTGTATATTTTCAGTATTTTTCAGACTCATAAAAGATCTCATGTACCCCAAAGTCTGTCTTGTTTACCAGTCTTATTTGTTGTACTAGCAAAAATATTACCTTGTACTGAAAACTGTCATTTGCTTACGTTCAAATCCATTCTTTCGCTTTTACCATGTTTAAATGTACTCTTGCATTTGCAGTTGATGGAAAGATAACCCCCCCTTTAACTGGAGATTTTAGACCTTCACAGTTGCTTGAATCCACTGTGCAGATTCGATCTGACATAAACCCAAGGTATGGGAGGTTTCTAAGACTTTACATATGAAGGAGGCTTTAGGAGAAGGCAGTCACATGCGTAAAAAGAGCACCTTTCTTGCATCTGACTGCTTCACTCTTGTTTCAGCTTGTATGTACAGACAGTTGCAACAATGGGTGTCAACACAGAATACTTCCAACATGCTGTTGAAATTCAAGGCAAGGTCCTGACAAGAGTGCCAATGAAGTTTGACACCAAGATAGATGTGAAACTGAAAAATATTAAGATTGAAACAGATCCATGTCATGAGGAAACTGAGATAGTGGTTGGAAGGTATGGTAGCTTTACTTCAGAATACTTCATATTGCTGAAACCTGATGAAGTTCACCAATCACTGACCTCCTACAGGGGTTTCTAGATAGGCAGAGTGACTCTTCAATGTGTAGCGGAACCTTTGGTATGAAGTGCAAGGAAGAAAAATAGGGGAACTAAAAATCAAAAGGTACCTAAACTATTTAGCAGCTTAATTTTTACTTTAATTTGTTTATTATTTTGTGTTCTTACTATTTTTCCATTATTTTATTGTCCTTTAAGGATTTTAATTTTTATGTTTGAATGATTTTTTTTAATTTCCAAAAAGTTAAAATTTAAATTTAACCAGATTTTGAAAGCTTCACGTGATATAAGGAAATTACATTTGTCATGAACTCTTACTTGTTTTCAATAATATTTATATTTATTAATTCATATATAATCCCTATGTTCAAATGACAGATCTCTGTGCTGTCTTGTAATACTGCCAGGGACATATTTAATTTAACCCAAAGACAAGAGGTCAAAATAATTCACCATTTTTTGCACATATCTCAACAGACATAAGGCTTTTGCTGTATCAAGAAATATAGGAGAACTAGGTTTTGAAAAGAGAACTTCAATTCTCCCAGGGGATGCTTCATTAAATATTGTGGAAGAACCTTTCAAACCATCAGAGAGAGCTTCCAGTGAAGGTTTCACAAAGGTAACCTATTGCTTTTTGCTTATATGGTAATATTTACCCTCTCTGTAATGCGTGTCTGTAGTTTTATTCTCACCTATAACATACTCTCGGTGGTATTCACACACTCATCTCTAATGCAGCAAGAAGCCGACGGCATGGCAAGGAAACATGCTGATAGCTCTCAAGAGGATCTTCGCCATGTCGCAGGAAGAAAAACCCATAAACGAGACATTTGTGTCAAAATGCATCACCTTGGTTGTCAGCTCTGTTTTTCCAGAAGGTCACGAGATGCCAGTTTCCTAAAAAATACATATTTGCACAGATTAATTGGAGAACACGAAGCTAAAATAGTCTTGATCCCAGGTAAAATGCTGAGCATGAGCCTTGTCATAGGTTTTTCAGAGCTGTTTGAAGCAGTATAACCTTCTAATGTGTGCAATTGGTGTGTAGTTGAAACAGATGCTGATATTGACAAAATTCAGCTGGAGATTCAAGCAGGATCCAGAGTGGCTTCCAAAATAATTCAAGAGGTAAACTCAGAGTCTAAGGAAGAAGATGAACCATCTCTATATAAGGACATTCAAGCTAAACTGAAGAAAATTCTAGGCATTGAAAATGTGTTCAAGGCAAGTGACTTTGAAAATTAGAGTGGGGAACATTTTCCCCTAAATGAAGCCAAGAATTTGAAGTTCAGTGTGGAAAGATGGCATGGGAAAGAAAGGGTGAGGCTAGTTTGAAAGGTGCCAGTGCTAGGCCTGTCAGTCAGTGCTACCTCTGGAGGGATCGATTCCTTGGGGTGCAGCCAGCTAAGTCTTCTGTGCTGAGCTAGATTTCAGCTTGGCAGAGTGGATCAAAGGGAGTTCTGCAGATTCTTCAGTGAGTGAGGCAGGGAGGTGGTTGTTCCTTGAAAGGCTGATGTGAGAAGCTTGTCTGACACCCTCAGAGGTTTTACTTTGTAAATACAGAACCAGCTGTATCCTCTCTCTTACACTTCTCTATGAACTGTTTTTTCAGGTTGCAAATAAAACACGACACCAGAAGAAGCGACCTTCAAAGAAAGAAAACACTGTGCTAAGAGAGCGTGGGACAGACCCCGATGCAAAACGTCCCTTCAGCTCATCTTCTGCCTCCTCAGCTGCCTTCTCTTCCTCATCATCTGCTGTTTCTCCTGATCATAAAAAGGCTGTGGATGAAGATGAGAATGATCAAGAAAAGCAAGATACAAGCAGCAAGAGCAGCAGTAGTGGCAGAATTAGCAAGAGCAGCAAGAGCAGCAGCAGCAAGAGCAGCAGCAGCAAGAGCGGCAGCAGTAGCAGCAGTAGCGGTAGCAGCAGCAGTAGCAGTAGCAGCAGCAGTAGCAGTAGCAGCAGCAGTAGCAGTAGGAGCGGTAGCAGGAGCAGTAGCAGCAGCAGTAGCAGCAGGAGCGGTAGGAGCAGTAGCAGCAGCAGTAGCAGCAGGAGCGGTAGCAGCAGCAGTAGCAGCAGGAGCGGTAGCAGCAGCAGTAGCAGCAGGAGCGGTAGGAGCAGTAGCAGCAGCAGTAGCAGCAGGAGCGGTAGGAGCAGTAGCAGCAGCAGTAGCAGTAGGAGCAGCAAGAGCAGCAGTAGCAGCAGCAGTAGCAGTAGCAGCAGTCATCATAGCCATGGGCATCACTCAAGGCATCTGAATGGCAGCAGTAGCAGCAGCGAGTCATTGAGCCGCTATAGCCATGGGCATCATTCAGGACATTGGGATGGCGACAGCAGCAGCACATATTCCAAAATATGGGTAACTTTGTGTTTCTGAATCACATTCCTGATGGTGGTTGGTTTCGTGTGACAAATCAGGAAATTATGAATTGACACAGTAAATTTTAGCAATATAAAATTGCAAAATTTGTTCTGCAAACACATCTGCAATCATTGGCTCAGATGACGACTTCAAAGCATCTCAAAAGTTTCCACAAGTTTGTTGAAACTTTTGTTATAGGCAAGGAACTATTTTTTTAACAGTTTATTGTCCATATATTCATCTTGAATTATGTGCTTGTGGCTAAACCTACAGACCTATGTATGAAGGATTATTAGTATTATTTAATTTCCAGTGCTCAAATTTCAATATAATTGCAGCATTTCTTTTCATTTGAAATTTTTAATCTTCTTGTTTTTATCATTTTCAAAGGAAGTTCATGAGATTTACCAGTACCGCTTTAAATCAGCACATAGACAAGAGGTGAGTTTTTCTTTCCTCAGTAAAAGAATTGTGGAAACTGTCATGAGTCAAATGGAGAACTTTAAAGGCAACTTATTATCTTTGTTGAGGAAAATTACAGTACTGATAACATTAGAGCCATGGTGGTTCTTCTGATATGCGTAGAGATGGAGAGCTATGTGCCTCATTGCGTTGTGCACGACACCATTTGTGGCTCTGCAAAGGAGATGAAAAGCCTCTACCAAAGCAATATGAGGGACTGGAGCTGCCCACTTTGGAGGAACAAAGATCCTACCATCAAAAGATTAGATCATTTGACTGGCTTAGATCGTTTGGTTTCTTGGGTTGGAATCACTGCTGATATGGACAAACACAGGAGGATACCTTATTTTATTTTGGTTTAGCAGATTCTTACTGCAGCATGAGCCTGCCAGGAGCAGTGTACTTGATATTAGTGCTCCTCAAAAAGTAAAATTTCAACTGTGTGTGTCCATTCAGATGATCCTTTCCATCCAGTTGTCAGGTCCATTCAATGTGTCCTCCAGTTGATAAGACCCTTGCAGGAGTTCTGGTCTTTCATATTGAATTGAGAGGCTGGTTTCCTTTGACTTGCTTTGGTCCATTATTTTTTCATACAGGGAATTCTCATCTAAACACACTCCTTATTTGTTTCTTCTGAGGCGTCAGATATATTTGGGCAAACAATATTTTGCAGAGCTAGATCACACGTACTAAGCAGGACAAAGCCTACTGCAAGTCATTGAGCTGCTCAGGGTTGAACACAAATTTACCAACACCAAGTGCCATGACAGTTCAACACTGCCTAGTGCATTTCTTCAAGCATGCTTTTGAGTTAAGCATGTTGTGTTTTTTTCTTACAGTTCCCAAAAACAGAACTCCCAACTGACCGCCTTAGCAGCTCGTACTCTTCTACCAGATCCAGTCGTGCCTCATCTAGACCTGCTTCCCGGGTTAGTTGCATCATTTTTAGGGGTTTTTGATAGCTTGGAAGAATGGCATGTGGCCACGCACTTGCAGTAATTCTATATCTAAGTTAATGGGAAGGGAGAAATGCCAACCACTCAAGTTTCAAGTATCAGTCAAGAGTGAGACACGCCCCATAATTCCCACACACACGTTCCTCTGCAGTGAGGATCCTTCTTACTTGCGTTGCGACCCTTCCCTCATGGGAATCCCACCCGACAGATGCCTGCAGAGACTCATCTTGCGAGCTCTGCAACCAGGAGGGAGGTTGAGGTGCTGCAATGCCAGTGTAAGGACATTGGTGGTGGCAGCTGAGGCTCAGAGTAGTCTCACCAAAAGGCGTGCTCCAGAGGGGACGTCTGCGCTCCTCACCACCACCCAGTCGGATGTGTACAGGCTTGCTAAGAATGGAGTGAAGGTATCAAAGGTCATAGTGCGTTTAAGGCCCTGCTCCAAGGGAGGAGGTTCTTCATGTTGAAGGCAATATCCTGGATTATATTCTGTGCTGGGTTGCTGTGCAAACACAAAACCTGCCCAGCCTACAGAATTCACAGCTGAAATGTGAGGTGAAAGCCAACAGACCACCCAGACAGATAAACAGGAGGAGTGCAGCTGGGGGATGTTATTACTGTGACAGAGTGATGCATAAAACTGACCGTTGATGCTGTTCAAATTGAACCACTTTTATTCACAGGCTGGTTATTAACAATGAAGCCCAAATCATATAGTCATTACTGTATTTTAATCCCATGAGTATTTCCATGGTATCAGCTGTAGCTGAGGAAACAGCACAAATTTTGGATCATATAAACACAGTGGTAAAGTCCATCTGTGCATGCAGAGGCACGTGCACATTAAAGACATATGCATGAGATTTTGTAGGCATGTATATATGTGTGGTACATATGATGGTATATATTTGTGGTTCAGTTATTTATTTTTCATTTATCCATCTCAATCTTGCATCTAAAATGTTCCACATGATAACTCTTTTATAGTTATATTCTTTGTGTACTTTCTCCCCCTTCTTCTTAGCCTAAGTTTTTGGGAGATGTTAAAACACCAGTATTAGCTGTTTTTCTTCATGGCATCCATAACGATAAGAAGATAGGAGGCCTCCAGCTCGTGGTATATGCTGTTATTGACTCCATCAGGCCCCAGATGCAGGTATTTGTGTCAAACCTCACAGATTCAAGCAAGTGGAAGCTCTGTGCTGATGCTTCAGTCCTCAATGCTCACAAGGCAGTGGTAAGACTCAAAAATAGTTATATACAGCTGTATGCATCACAGGAAAACCATGGTCCATGCATTAAAAAATGGATCATTTATCTCTCTCCATTACAGGCTTACTTGAAATGGGGAGAGAATTGCCAGGACTACAAGATTTCGACTGAGCTGGTGACTGGGCGGTTTGCTACCCACCCTGCTGTACAAGTGAAACTTGAGTGGCCTAAAGTTCCTTCCAGTGTGAGATCCATAGCTGAATGGTGAGGCTTTAGTCCTTAGTGACACTCATTCACAGTATTGGTCAACTGGGAAAAATCAGCATCCACACATGAGGTTCTAGTAGCTAAAATACTGGCTAATATTTTAGTCTCAGATCTGTCCAAGTACTGCCTTTGGACATAAAAGCTGAGTGGCATTACTTCCTATTTTAATGTACAGTAATTCTTTATACTGGATGTAATTACTGAAACTGAGGAACAGATCCTTCCTTTCACTGAACAGTAAAGCAGAGAGTGGGTGTGAGCCTAACGAGTGATCCTGAAGACTATTATGCTACTTACACAGAGGTGTGAGACAAGCTGGTTGGGATGTGTGCAGCTTTTTACTTCTCCATTTCACCAAGTCTTTCTGATTTGAACTTTTGAAGGTTTTACAAGTTCATCCCTGGGGCTGCACTTATGCTGGGGTTCTCTGAAAAAACAGACAAGAATCCTTCTCGACAAGCCAGAGTGATCGTGGCTCTAACTTCTCCAAGGACATGTGATGTTGTTATCAAGCTTCCTGATGTAATTATGAAATATTTTTATCACTCTCCTATTTATTCCTAGTAGAAAAGTGTAAGTGTTGCACTTTAATTACAGTGGGTCAATTCTGAGAAAAAAAAATTAAGTAAGCATCACTTTGGGTGCAAATGATGAAAACAACTTTTATTTATTTTCAACCTTTTGATAGTACATAGAAGGATATTCATATGGTGCTTCTGTTCACAGAGAGAGACATGGGTACTCATAATTACATGAGTTTCCATCTGTAGTAACCCATAAGTGTTCACCTTCTCACCTTTGAAAGGGAGTAATTAATTTTCTCTCAAATAATACCTGAATGATTTCTCTCACACCATGAGAGAAAACTAAGTAAAAGCAAAAACTTCGTGGGCAATGAGACAGATGAGTGGTGTTCACATAAAGTCTTTGCAACCAAAGTAGAAGAAATAGAAATCAAATTCCAAACAGGAGAAAAATCTTAGCTGTTGGTTGGCACAGTGTATTTTGAATGTGCTTTTGAATTCTTTTTCAGATTATCCTCTATGAAAAAGCCATGAGGCTTCCCCTGTCACTTCCTGTAGGTCCGAGGATACCAGCCTCAGAGCTGCAGCCTCCCATCTGGAATGTCTTTGCTGAAGCTCCCTCTGCAGTGCTCCAGAATTTGAAAGGTTGGGCTCAGAAGCATGACAACCTCAGTGTCACAATTTACTTGAGCATCTTCTGAATTTTCGCTGGCATTATTTATCTCCAATTAATTAGGAAATGTTCTGTAAGAAAGTGAGGACGGTTCAACTGGGAGAAAATATTGTGCATGTAGTACAGAAATCATCAGCATTTCAAGGATCAAGATACCAATTCTTTGAATTGATAACATTTAAAGTTTCTGGCAATTATTTTTTATTAGATAGAGGAAGTATATTTTCCATGCCTTTTTAAGAATTTATGGGTGCTTAGTAGCCAAAAGCCCCTGTAAACCATACAAAAATATCACATAGTGGAAAAAATATAAAGCTGAAATAACATGGCACTAAAAATAAAACATGACTTAATGGCTTTCTCTAATGGAAAAGCAAATACTCACTGGCATTTTTTTTACCAGCTCAGTGCTCAGTTTCCTACAACCAGATCACAACCTTTAATGAAGTTCAGTTTAACTACACGATGCCAGCAAACTGCTACCACATCTTGGCTCAGGATTGCAGCTCTGACCTTAAGTTCCTGGTGATGATGAGGAATGCTGAAGAAGCTGTGAATCTAAAAGCAATCAACATCAAGCTTGGCATTCAGTAAGTAACTCCTGCCAGATGCTGGGAGCATGAGTGACCATCGTCCACATTTAACACGAGAGGAGCTTCGATCTGAGCTTCAGTGCAACAGTTAGCAGCCCACGGGATTTCAGTGTTCGCCTTATTTACTTTCCATGCACGTTGCATGCGATGCTGATGCTGTTATCCCTCATCATAGGTGACAAGAATACCCTGATGTAATTTAAGTGGTTGAAATAAGCTTATGCTGTGATCAGTGATATTTAGTGAGCAGGAAAATGCCAGTGCCACTGCATGTGTGTGAATGGGGCACAAACAGGGTATGAACACTCTTCTCCTTAACAGTGACATTGATATGCGTCCTGCAAACGGACGGGTGAAGCTGCTGGTAGACGGAGTTGAAAGCCCCATGACAAATGTTTCATACACATCTGCTGGTAAGTGATGCAGCATATCTTGTTTAATTTTCCCGTATGTTTTAGGAGAAAGAAAGAAAGAGAGTCTATGAAACAGATTTTATCAGTTTTTTATCAGTTTGTATTTACTGTTTCCTTGGGTTTAAGGTTAATATTTAAAAACATGTATTTTACTCACTTGCATAGGAACTTTTAGGAAGATTGATTAGGGTGTGAAGCTCTTGATGTGGCCAAAGTAAGGAAGATATAACTAACATGAAGATCCCTGCTTTTTGTACATCACTGCAGCTCCTACTGAAGTTCCAGATTTGGAAAGTGTTTTGGTTATGGTGTAAATCTTGCTTGGTTAAAACTTTTTGAAGTAGAGCTTTTCTAAAATTCACCACATGTGACTTGTATACCAGTGTTTTTTCCCAATTTGATTTGTAGGTATAAATTTGGCTTGCATTCTGAAATTTGCTATGAATAGATATGAAGAACTAGTAAAGCCACCTGCTTGATTCTCTCAGAGCTGGAATAGTTTTTCTGTGAAAGGTACGGGAAGACCCTGTTGCATCCTGTGCTGTGCAGTCAGGAGCTGTATTCAGTGTGGGTATTCCCTGCCTGCAGAGCTGTAGTATATGGGTCAGGCTAAATCTTGCTGAAATTGGGTTAACGTGCGCCACTGCTGAGCTCTGTCTTGTTTGTTATATACTTGGAAAGTGATAATTGTGCTAGAAATGGCTCCAGTGATAGTCTTGGTGTTCTTTGTATTTCCATACTCCACTATAGTGCACTCAGGGTCTTGTTTATCTGCACAACTACACAGATGCTATAGACAGCTCTGAAATAATTTCTAGATATAAATATGAATATGTTAATAACCCAAAGAAAAATGAATAAATCTTTGATCATTAAAATTGTCTTCCAACCCTTTACAAACACCTGTTTTCTATATATAAATATTTCTAGGGTGCTTTGTTGTGTGTTTTGTTTCTTGAATAGAACAACTGAGGAATTTTGAAGAAAAAAACATTTTAGAAACATGACAGTTGCTTTTTTCTTTCTTAAAGAGGCTCGGTTTGGTCTGGTTTTGGTTTTGTTTTGCTTTGTTTGATTTTGTTTTCTTCTAGGTGCTTCTCTGTGGATCCACAGTGAAAATCAAGGGCTTGTACTTCTCGCCCCAGCCTATGGCATTGATAAATTGTACTTTGATGGATACACATTCAGGGTATCACTCTTCCTCTTCATAAGCTTGAGTGTTGAGAAATTTCCATAGGATTCCCTTAAATCTCATGAGTGCATGAGTGCAAGAGTGTACAGTGGCAAAGGCAACTCTGTGCAGGGCCCAAAAAACCCCAACAGGATGATGCTACAGGATTGCACAGTCCTGCTCCTTGTTCCTCAGCATGAGAAATGAGAATCCTTCACAAACAAAAATACCTTGTTCTTGCAGTACCGGGTGCGTTGGGAAGCGGGTCTGCGAGTGTACATGTGCTGAGTCATCAGTGTCTTTGCAAGAAAAATGAGTTTTCCTCTCTTCTCCGCTGTTCTTACAACTGTATAATTCTTCAAAACAGCAGAAGTGCACCCATTCTTTTTAGATAAACGAATGCTTTAAAATCTGCACTAAAAATAATATGAAACAGGAATGTAAGAGATTGGTAAACCCTACTGTGTCTATCTCCTATACTATCAAAACATCCACCAGACAAAAACTTCAGCGTACTAAGAATCTAGAGCATTAATAACGTTCTAGACTGGCACAGTATGTTTTAAAGACTGTAGCAATGATGCTGCACCCCCACAGGAGTTTGGAATATGACTGTCAGACTCTTTTGAATTCTTACCAAGGAGATTTTAAATGTTTGTTCATTCACTTATACTGGAAGGGACCTACATAGCAAAAATCTGCTCTGTAGGTATTACTTTTTTTTAACTTGAAGTGCTTTTGACTTTTTTTTCCACAAAGATTCAAGTTGCTTTATGGATGGCAGGGAAAATGTGTGGAATATGTGGAAAATATGATGGTGAATGTGAAGAGGAATTTCGGATGCCCAACGGATATGTAGCTAAAAATGCAGTGAGCTTTGGGCATTCTTGGATTTTGGAAGAAAAGCCTTGTAGAGGAGGTATGCAAGTTCTAATAAATTTAATATAATATTACTGCAGTTGTTTAGAAAATGCAGAATCTGTTCAGAAAATTTTAAATCTGTATACATTCTGGAAATAAAAAGCATACAAAAAAAAAATCATTATGAAGTTATACATTAAGTATTAAAATTACCTGCCAGTTGAGAAAGAAATAAAAAATCACAGGCTAAACAAGCCAAAATATGCAAGTTAGTGGAAACTAAATAACCAAGTGAAAACAAAATCTTTCGGTTTTTGAGTGTTTTAGTTTCAGTTTTGAAGTGTTTTAGAAGATGATCAGGAAAAAAAAAAAGCAAAAGGGTAAATTCACACAGAATGCTTTGATTTAAGCACAACAACATTTTGCAGACATCAATTTTCAGCAATTGATCCATCAAAAAATAGAATGGGCGTTAGTAGTTGTTACCATGGCTGGCCACCTGATTTTTGAACCAGTGCAACCTGTCAAGTAAAGCATTCAAGTACATGAGCAGTTCCAGGGACTTTTGAAACAACAAAGCTATATTTTAAGTGTTTCAGTAGGTTAGGATCTTATGGTGTGTGATGCTCTCAGCTGAGGTTATGATGCAACATCGTACCATAGTGCTCAAGGAGAACAGGAACATTGCGTTTGTAGAGACTTGTCCTGGTGGAAAGGACTTCCTCAGTTCCTGGAAATGGCTTGTACATAGTTAGCTGTGCATTAACTGTTACTCTTCTATATCTTTGTCACAAAAACTGGGCATCAAACTTGCTTTACATGGATATGGAGTCCACATGCATGTACACAATGCTATTCCCATGGTTGGTAATGACCGCATACTGTGTTTCCATTTAATATACAGCAGAAAGTGCTGGAATTTTAGAGCATAAAAATTATAGTTAGGAATAAGTTGTGATCTGTTTAGCTTCTCACTTGTAACTGTTTATCCTGAGAATCCAAAATGAGGTCAATATTACTGGTTAGTAGCAATGACTTTTGCATTCTCTCTCCAGCAATTTTGTGTCTGAATCACAGTGGTAATAATGTAATTCTTTAGTGATTAATTTTATTTGTTCAGAAATCTCCCCTTTAGTTCTGCTGCTGAATATTCAACATTTTAAACGTGGTTTGATGGCTATTCAGTAAGCCAGTTTACTTCGAAAAATGTTTATTAGAAAGTGCATCAGACTATGTTTCTACATCCTGATCTAGAAACAGACTGGTTGCATTTGAAATTAACTTTCCATGACTCCATATCTTATCAGCCGATTTGAAAGGTTTGTCAGCCGGTAAAGCTGCTTCATTTATGACCAAAGCACAGTTTTCACAGAGGGAAGTTGTTTGCAAATTGTCAGTGTTGGCAGATGGGTCCTTCTGGGGAGATCTGGAGCTTCTGAGTGTAATCACATAACCTATCACCCGTGACTGTGTTCCAGTCTGCAAACTGCGACGCTCATTTGTGAAGCTTGAGAAGACAGTTCAACTCGCCGGTGTAGAGTCCAAGTGCTATTCCACAGAGCCAGTGCTGCGCTGTATGAAAGGATGCTCTGCCACCAAGACTACTCCAGTCAGTGTTGGCTTCCACTGTCTCCCTGCTGGTAAGTCAACAGAAATCCTACTGAATAGGAGCTGAACAAAAGTGTAAATAGATTGTGACTTGAGTCAGTTATTCTACTTCAAAAATATGAATAATCTAACATACCCACAGGTAGGGATGGACTTACTGCCTTATTGACTTTTTTTATTAATATGTAAACATTCCTTCAGCAAGAGAGATTATTTTCTATTGTAAATTTAAAATCTAAATTACAACTTAAAATCTAAACTAAACTCCCCTCCATGGTGCTTGAAGCTCAGAAGATAAGGGCAGGATAACAGCACAGTCAACATTGTGATTCAGCTGAAAAACTGTGAGGACTGAGCCACATGTGACCGTGTGCAGCACCCTGAAACAGGGATACTTGCCTTGTATTTTTTATATATCACTGCCTTTGGATGTGATCCTATTTCACTGAGCTGATTTAGGCACTAAAAGGGCAGATGTGGACAGGATCCTTGTACACAGGTGCAGTGATATAGGAGGACATAGTTTTTATTGTATATCATAGTTCATAAGAGATTAGATAAGGTAGATATAGATTATATAGATCATAGAATTATGTCTGTTTTTTCTTAAAGACCCTAATACCCTTTCCTAAATGTATCATTAGAAAATTCTACATAGAAGTAGTAGCTTTCAAGGTAGAATTTTCTTATTGATGAACATCCCTGTGTGACTTCAACAAATACAAATATGTAAGTCAGTGAGGAGCAGCCAAGCCTGCTGTAATTAATGATTAGTGCATGGTAAATGGGCATGGTACCTTGCAGAACTACTTCTGCTGTGTACTGTTTGCTTTTCATTTCTTGTTCCCTATCAGATTCAGCTACCAGCCTGACAGACAAACAGACGAAGTTTGACCAGAAGTCAGAGGATATGCAGGACACTGTTGATGCACACATAGCATGTTCTTGTGAGGACGAAGACTGCAGTGCGTGAAGCTGTACATTGCAGCATGGGAAAAACCAGAAACACTTTCATGTTTTTATTATATGGTGTAAAAAGCCTCAGCTAAAGGAATAATAGAGACACTAAATTGTTTGAGGATGTGTGGAATCTTCTCAAGTAATTTAAAGTATTAAACTTAATTATTGTAGAAACTGTTATGATTGCCCATAAATATCTGATCTCATAATAAATCCATGCATGGAAAAAATTATGAAGGCTTCCTTATTTCACTGGTCATGGAAAGAGGAGGTCTGCATAGGTTCTTCTCACCTCACATTTTGTAGACTTCTTGAGTTTGTGACCATCTTCTGTGTATCAGGCACGTGTGTGTCAGGCCCCACTGAGAATCCGGGTTGTGTAGCTGTGGTACCAGGCTTCTGCTTGTTCCCCCAGTGCTTTTTTGCCTGGTGCTGGGATCCTGTGCATTCGGAGCAGGAACTGATCACCTCTGTGTGAGGCACTCCCTGCGGCAGCCGTGCAGCCGCGATGCTTTGCAATAGCTGCACGGTGGGCCAGTGCTGCTGCAGGGAGCAGCAGGGTCAGGGAATAAAGCCTGAATGTCATGCCCCCTGGGCAAGGCTGCTCTGGGGGAGCCACAATCAAGTTATGTTTCTGGTGCAGAAGCTAGGGTGAATCAGGAGTCTTTGACCACGACAGGGTGGTGTTACCCAAGCACACCTCCTGCCAAAGAGTCTGAAGCAGAGTCAGACCTCTGCGCTTTGGGTGAGATGCCCCAGCCACTGTGCCCAGCATGAGTCCTTGCTGAAGCCACCATCAGCAGGTGGGCTCTGCCTCCTGCCCACCTGCCACAGGTCTGTGTGGGCATGGTCAGGAACATGCTCGTCTGCCCTGAGCACTGGAGCCCAAAGGATTCCAGCAGATCTGGAAGATGTTTCCTACTTGTCCCTCAGGCTGTGCTTGCAGGCTGAGTATGCACGCTGGGTGAATGTGTTTTTGAAAACACTTGAGAACATTCTGTAAAAATTGTGGGTTTTTTGCTTTCTCTGGCAGCTTTGGTACATTCAATGGATGCGCATATATAAGTTTTATTGTTTGGATATGAGTTTTATAGTTTAGAAAGGTAAAGTTCTTAGTACCAAAAGAAACATGTGTGAAAGGTCTAACTATACAGTTCTGCAGTTTAAATGCTGCCATGGTAACCTGTTCTGCAAAGTGATGGGGAGCAGGTAGCAGACAGGCTTTGGGCCCTATCCAGCAGCAGCAGTAAGTGATGAGCTGGTGGTTCTGCTGCTTGCCTGGAAGTCACATGGAGCAGTGACAGGAAGCACAGACTTTTCAGGTAACCTGGGGCTGAATCCAGCAAAATTCAGGCGTTTATGTGGTCCCCAGAGCTGGGCTCCATGAGGGGCTGTGGCATGAGCTCCCAGCTCTAGTGGGGGCAGCCACAGGACTCCTCTCTTTCCAACATGTTAAGGCTGGAGCACAGTTTGGGGGGCATTGTCATCTTCCAGCCTCTGCATTCAGGTGTGATGAGCCCAGCAGGAGACCCATGGGTGAGCATTGCCCAACCACAGTGGCAGCCTGCAGGGGGATCTGGGCTATAGGTATCCACCTCAAGAGGGGCTGTGGGGAGCCCATAACCAGCCTTTGCCCCTTTCCCCCACTGCCACTGTGGAGGGAGCTGAGCGCAGCTCTAGGGAAATGCTGTCCAGGGCAGATCCTGGGCACAGCCAAATTGTTTGTCACCCTCACCATTTTCTGAGTTTTTGGGGTTTTTTGCCTCTCTCTTTTTAATTCTTGTTATATCCTCCTGAGAAATCCTAGCATGAAAGGGCTGTGAATGCATGGGGGCAAAGGCTGGGAGTTGAAGTTGTTCTTGAAGCACTGAAAAAATGACCTAGAAAATGAGAGGGTTCTGTTTTATGAAGAAATCCCTGAAGGCAAAGCCCTTGCCCATGGGTTAACCTGCCCTTGAAGCAGAAGCACAGCTGATCCTGCCCTGTGGCAGCAGCATGGCCAGGGTGACCAGGAATGTAGCATCTGCTGCCCAAAGCAAGGGATGGGGTGGGATGGGGGTAAGATTCTGCAGCCCCAAGCTGCAGTGCTGAGGATTTTGGGGAAACCCTGTTCTTGCATCTGTGCAGAGCCTGTACAGCCCCCAGCAAGAACTTATTTTGAGGAGTGTTAGGGTTCAGTTTTGGATGTCACTGCTATAGTAGTGGGGTGTTTCAGTGATACAGTGTTATAACTTTAAGAAAACAAGCTTTGCTGCATTTAATATGCCATCACAGCAGCTCTCTACTTTCACTGCCACTGACCTGGAGTTGTCCCTGCCCACAAGCTGAGTTTTTAAAAAAAACCAACTAAATCTGTGCAGCTGCATAGGCTTATGTCATAGTATATTAGCTTTTGAGCCTCAAGTACCAGTGGCCAGTAGTTGCATACTCAAATCCTTCAAGTACCTTTACCAAATCTCCAAAGACATGATGCATCTCTCTAGGAAATGGTTTGGCTTTCTATCATGTGCTACGAGTTTTACAAGGGAAGGGGTTAAAACAAGTAGGACCTGAATACAGAACCAGTAAAAACACAGAGGATTTGCTATGCTTTGAAATTAATTTTTTTTTTCCCTAGAGATGCAATCTTTGATCCAGGAGCAAAATCCGCGGTTTGTCAGACATTATAAATTATATCCCAACTGTCAATTATAAGAAAAAAATCACCTATATAACATTACAAAAACTAAGCTGCCTTGGATAGGAGTCACTGGTCTGTTGATGGGAAACTGAATCCAGTCCCTTCCCACAGTGAGTTGGGCAGTAGCTTTGGTTCCCCACCCACAGAGGAGAAGGCTGATGGGCGAACAGCAGCCACAGGGCACCAATGTGAACCCCTCAGTCCTGGGGCTGCCTTAGCCTTCCTGGTGCAGGTTCCTGATGGAGCAGTGTGGGTGGCTCCAGCTACTTGGAGCTGTACTTGTGCACAGCTCCATGACCTGACTGGGCAGTACCAGGGACCTTGGGGACCAGGCCAAACCCTGGAGCCAAGAGCAGCCTGAGGGACCTGTGGGGCTGCCTCTAAAGGAACGGGGAAAACGCCTGCTGATGAGAGAAGGGGACTCCACCATGTGGTGAAAAGGCAGGTGAGGGAAGCATAGATGTCAGCAGCACTTAGCCATGGCCTTTGTGACAATGCTGGGAGGTTTGTGTTACTGGGTGAATTCTCTGTCCCCAGAGAGCAGCATTGTGCCAAGAGCCTGTCCCACTCACAGCAGGGCAGGTAGGGGCACGGTGTCACAGGAGGGCTGCCCGGGCATTTTGCACAATCCTGCTGGGGCACTATCAGTTAGATAAGCTGTGTGTCTTATGGTCAGGTCAGTATAACCTGGGCAAAGTCAGCACAGACTGCAACAGCACCAGGTGCTTCCAGAGAATAAGGAAAATTAGTAGGTTTTTTACACATTAATAATAATTCACTTTAAATATATTTTAATACTTTTAAGCACTCATTTCAAAAGGCAGGGCTTTCACGGCATTCAGCTGCTGAGGTGAGAACAAGAGCATTTGTGACGGTTTTGGCTCAGCAAATATATCCATCGCCTTGTCCCCTACCCCCTTTCCCTCAAAGGGTTTGTTTGGTTGATAAGAAACTGATAACTCAACAAAATTCACTGTGCCTGTTAATAATTCTTCTATAAAAGCCTCAGATTTTCCCCTGTGGGCTTCAGTCACTTTTAGCATGAAGAGACTCATCCTGACCCTGGTGCTCACCCTTGTGGGTAAGTTGAAGCTTTACCAGCACTGCCGAGCTGTGACAGCCATTGTGATGCTGAGCGAACTGCATCTCCGCAGGGGTTTCAGGGATATTTAGAGCTTCATTTGCTGAAGCCCTTTTATGGCTTCAGCTGTAAACTATTAGATTTCTGTGCCTAAGCTCAGCAGTAGGAGAAAAGCCAAGCAAGCAGCAGCTAGTGAGCGGGGCTGGCACAGCCTTGGTGTCCTGGGGGTGTGGGGTGCACCTCATGAGCCCCTGGTTACTGGTTGTTTGCCAACCATTAGCACACTGACTAAATGAATAATACATGAAAAAAATCTACAGAGATGGGGGTTTTTTCAAGCATACTTCTCTTTCCTCCCTCACAGGGGGCCAGAAGCAGGACCTCGGTAAGTGGCTCCCTCTGCCAGCCAGCAGCTCCCATGCTGCCTTCCCCTACAGCCTCGCCTTGCCCACTGCTTGCACCTATTTATTGGCAGTGACAGCCTCACCTTTCTTTGCTGGGGTGGTTCAAGTAAGATCACAACAGTCATAGCCAAGGAGGTGTTTCTGTTATTTTTTTTCCTAATAGAGCCTGTTTTTCATATGGGCAAGACCTACCTGTATGGCTATGAGAGTGTCATCATGCATGGACTGCCTGACAGAGACTTGGCGATGGCGGGGGTGAGGCTGACAGGCAAGCTGGAGATCAGCCGCGTGTCTCAGAGCAACCACCTTCTCCAGGTAAATCCCCATGGCTATGGGAACCCACCCACTCGTCCTCATCATATAGTTACAGATGCTCATTTCATACCTCCTGGCTGGCAAAATAACTGACAAAAAGATGATGTAGAGCTCAGACATAAACTCGGGGCCCTTCCCACTGCTAAGATACCCCTGTAAGTCCAATGTCAGGCAGTGACAAGTCCCCAGTTAGGGCAAAGCTATGGACATGGGCACTGAGCTCTGCACCCTATATACGCAAGAAGTGACGAGGGAGTGCCGAGGGCACTGCTGAGGGTTTTGCAACTGTATCCAAAATATTTGGGGTTACTGATAGGGACCTACAGCGAGTGCCACAACCTTCCTTACAGCCTGCTCCTCTGCAGGAGGGAGCCAGAGCTGCTCCGGCTCTGCTGCCATCAGTATCTGAGCCCCCTTGATTAAAGGTACCTTAGGTTCACCTCCATGCAAAAATGTGGCAGGCAGCTGCTTTAAAGAAATGTCCTTAAGATAGTTTTAATAACATGACATTAAGCTTGAATATGAAAACAAGCATTCAAGCATGAAATATCCATGTTCTTCAACCTGGTCCATAGCCTGAGAAAAGCTCAGCACTGGAATTCAGATATCACATGAGAAAGACCCACCTGTCTCCTTTATCTTCCTTTTAATATTTTTCACATAGGCCTTAATTCAAATGTGAAGAATTCTGATGGTAATGCCATTATGATATCAGATCTGGAAGCTCTGTTACTCATCAAAAAGACTAAACCA